TTTTCGATACGCGCATGCGCGATACAACCTACTCTTTTTAAATGGTAACAAGCAATACGTAACCGAAACTAGCAATACCGATTTGTCACCTAAAACTTTGAACAATTGATAAAAGTGTATAATTTAAATAATTCCTGCAAAAATTTTGCTTAAAATGGTGAATACTTGTAGAAAATATATTATGCTCTGATTATACATAATTTGTGTATATAAGCCAATATAATGTTTTTATTATTGATTTACAAAGTTTTCTGGCCTGCGATGTTTCACAAAATGTGACTCGTGTCGTTTAGCAATCATCAATTCAAATTATTTATGAGCGTACCTAACATAGGCCTGTATCCAAGGTAATCAAGAATTAATAAAATAATAAATTTATTTATCTTATATCTTATACATATCATAGATACATGTGTCTTGTATCTAGTTTTTAAAATATTATAGTTATCTTATTTAGATTACTTTTTAGTATCTTACCACCTCAATTATAATTATTGGTATTTTAATTTTAGATAAGATATTATTTAAGAAAGATAGTTTAAAATGATTATATAGTATAAATCAATTAAATCTGTATTTAATTTAATTTAATTTTAGAAGTATTTTTGTTTATTTAAAATTTTATCTGCTACATAATCAATTTTTAGTTTTATCAAAAGTTAAATAGACCTCCTAAAAATATTACTAACCACTTTTAATCACTTAGAGTTATACACTATTATTTTATTTACTACAAAATTTTTATAGAATAAAATAATTAAAATTAGAAGAAAGAAAGCTAGAGGTCTCTATTGACACATATTTGCAAATAATATATTTATATTTTTCTATTTCTACTACTGTTTTTAATAACGTAATGTTGCAGGTGTTTATATTAGTTTATTAACTGTATATTTTTAATTTATATTAGCTATTAGTAAATTTGATTTATCAGTCAATACTATTTTCACCTGTTTCTTCAATAACATTACATTTTAATATGAAGTTAATACTTAAATGTGTATTATCAAATGCATTAGAGGCGTTTCCAATGATCACAAACACTGTAAAATCAGTAATACAAATAGAATAAACTATTAATAAAATGGATGGAAGAGATATAGGTTCTTTAAAATATAAGTGCAATATGTTGTACTTACATGTGTTGAAATTTATTCCGAGCGTTGATGGGTCAGATGTGGCAAAAATATAAATTTTATTTTATTATACTAACAAAATAACCATACATTCACAAATGCATGTCTGGATAAAGATTAATGTTGCTATGAGAGAATATATAAATGATTATTTTAAATTAGTGTATGACAAATAATATTATTGATAGAAAAGAAAACGGATTTTGAGACTTTCAATTTTCAGTAGAACCTAATAATGGGATGTATCAGAATATTCTATTTCAGCGATATCTTGTGAAATGAATACAAGGATGTTATAAAGTTTATATATACTGGATTATGGCTCAGGGTATTTTGAACAAATGGATTCATAGCAAGAAAATAAACGATGTCCATGATGTCATTATGTCATTGCTATCATTTTTGATAATAATAATTTAGTAATTCCAATGGCTTTAGATATAACCAAACCACCATGAAATCTGTCCTGAATCCTATTATTTATTTTATAGTATAGAATAGCAATGTAATTAATGTAGCCTTAGATATTTTTAGCATTATTATATAAACACAAACGGTTTAGCAAGTAGATAGCAGACGTTAACTATAACTTGTAGGTGGGACATAAGGCGACCGTTCGTTAAGGTTGCCGCAACTGAACGAAGTACAACAGATGTACAATTTTATAGTTTTCATTACCTTCAATTAGCTATCTTATTTACGATTACTACGATAAAAAAAGTGTTTATTTATATCTTATCTGTGTGCAAACAGGTATTTAACAATATTGAATACTAATAACTAGTAATAAGTAAAAATAAGTTGAATTTAGTTTTAAATTTCGTCAAAAACAAATTACTCGTAAATATTAAATTTCATCGTTAAATTTCATATACCAATATTGTAATTAGAAAAAAACTTTTTATACATAAATTGTTTAGAAAAAAATACTCTTTCCGAATATGTAAAAAAAAAAAAATGGTATCACCATTTAAAAAAAAGTAAGTTGTATCACGCATGCGCGTATCGAAAGTGTTAAAAATTTGAAATTTATCTAAAAAATGTGTATTTAAGTACTATCTGTCATTCAGCGAAAACCCCATTTCAGTACGAGATCATCCAAATGAAATATTTAGTGGTACCTCTTAGCGTGAACACACTGTATATATAATAATTTTATAGTGTTTTTAAGTGAAATTAATCATAGTTGACAGAATACCCACAAACTTCAAACAAAGAGCAGTGGGTATGAAGATCTGAATAATTTGCATAATTCTCACGTCTTATATAATAAGAATCTAAACACGATTACATCCAAAAACTTATATTTTCATCAAAACCTAATGAAGTTTGTTATGTATTTATGCCAAAAATTCATTAAAATTTGTTCTGGACATCCATTACAAAAAATAAATAATTATTCAATATTAATAGTTGAATTTTATTTGAAGATGATAATAATTTAAAACAAATAATTTATTGGTTATGTATAAGATAAATATATGTATGTTCATTGAACTAGATATTTAATCAGATACATGAAAAATTTTATCAAGTATCTATGCAATTAAATAAATTATTCAAATTAAACAAGTAGTAACCTATTCTACTTTCATCTTATATGTGAAGTTAATGATTTAATATAATGGTTGATAATAATTGAACTGAATTAAAATTGTATGAAAACTAGTAAAAAACTAAATTAGTATTTGATTCTGAATTCATTGGTCCCAGTGTAAGTCAATCGAGATTAAGGTATAATAAAAATGTGCTTACCCACATTAAAATTAATTTTGTATAAGTACTTCATCTACAAAAATAAGCCTACACAATTAAAAAACATACTTTTACCTAAAATTAATCTACTTTACTTACACACTAAGATTTTCTTAATTGAAGTCATTACTGTGTTTAGTAAATAATAGTAACTACATTCTTGTATTTCAATTACTATTTGTTAAACATTTTACTATAATTTATTAATAATCTCTTACTTTCGTAAAATGAGCTATAAAAGAAAATATATATAAATATTTTTATTTTTTTTCTAAAATTGCTAATAAATGTTTGGTAGAAATTGAAGAAAAAATTAATAAATTTCCGTCACATAATAACAAAAAATGTTTTTTCATCATATAGATTTCTTAGTTTGTGATATTCATTATTTGGAACTGGTTTACTGGTTTCATTTGACTTAAGCACAGAATAAATGAAATTCATTTATCCTGTGGTTTCAAGTGTTTCAACACGTTTTATTGTTATCAATTTTGGTCGATAAGGATTAGAGTGATTGCATTGATTATAAAATAGCCTACCTATTCTATAATCAATGATAGTATTCTCAATTCTGTATTAAAAGTTCCGCGATAGGTGCAATGAAATATGTTATTACATAATTCTATTGAATATTGAATTAATTATTTTTTTATACCTTTTATTTTTTATAACTATATCATATCTGAAGTGTTAAAGAGTTATAAGAAGTAGGCATTGTAGTTATAGTATTCAGTAATGACCTTTGAGTTCATAAATTATGAATTATAATTAAATTCATTTTGAATTTAATTGGGTACACAGTTTGTAGGTGTATATAGTATAAATCTGTAATGCTTTTTAATTCGCCATGAGCAAGAGAATTTTCTAAAACACTAACTATACAGATATTTTTTACCTAAAGTAACTACCAAAATATTACTTTTAACAAATTGTACATTAATTGTTTAAAGATAGATAATTTTCAGAAATTTAATTATTTGTTAAATACAACATGGATATTATAACAAATAATGTTGCCAAATTCTGTTCATTGCCATCTTCGTATATTGTTGGGGTGACTGCTGCTGTTGGTTTTATAAATTATTATTTTATGTTTGCAGTTAAAGTAAGAATATATTAATTTACTCAATATTATTTACAATAATACTATTATATATTTAGTTTTAAAAATGCATTAGATATATTTTTAATATTATTCATAGCTTTCCCAAAAAATTAATCATATTTCATAACTGTTTATTTATGTTTTTAATACCTGCAGTTTTAAAGTAATTTAGAATATTACAAGTTGAATAATAATAATAAACTAATCTAGGACAATAGTTTTCAGCCACCTATAGATGGGTATGCAAAAGCTATCCAGGTAGTACATAATAAAATTAAAAAAACATTACAATTTTTTTTACACTTTTTTAACTTACACTTAATATTCAATACACAAATTAATAATAAAAAGCTTAATGTAATATATATTCATTTAAAGCCTATATTTATTACCTCATCTTAAATCAGCTTTTATAATTTTGGTGGTATACTTATTAGTTATTGTTTATAAAAATGTGGGGGTACTCAGTAATAAACAAGTGAGAATCACTGATCAAAAACATAACATTTTACGCAGAGAAATTAAAAAAAATTAAAATAAATTGTTTATTTTATACTTGCATATTAGACAATAAATTATAAAATATTATTTAGGCACCCAAAGTACATTGTAAAGAAGGAGAATTTAAAAACTTTATTCATCAAAATGTTCCAATTATCAATAAAAAGTATTGGCCAACAATCTGGTGTTTTGAAGCTAGATTTCAAAGTGTATTAGCAAGTTTGATACGATCATTTGTAGTTCCTCCAGCACCATATATTAGGTATCCATACACAGCTATTTAATTACAATTTTTTTTTTCATTAAAAAATGTTTAAACATTAATTTTATTTTAGAGAAATATTCACATTAAAGGATGGTGGTGAAGTGGCATTGGATTGGTTGGAACCTGTGAAACGTCCGGTCGATATGCATGATGCAACAATTTTGTTTTTACCAGGATTAACAGGTGACAGTAAATGTGAGTATGTTAGAGCTACATCATTAGCTGTGCAGAAATCTGGATTCAGGATTGTCGTTTTCAATTATAGAGGGATTGGTGGTATTGAATTAAAGGTAACTAAATACTAGTATAATTTTAACTACATATCATACTAAGAATTAAATAAGTGCATAAAGTTCTTTTTAATATTTTTTTATTAAAATAATCTTGTTACAAGTCAATGATCTTACAGTAATATGTTTATGAAGAAGTAATCAATACTACATTTTTTCAGATTTAATGTTATTTGCAAATTGCATGACTGCATATTATTAAAAAGGCATTAAATCCTACTATAAAAACTATTTTTTTCTGATTGTGTTTAAAAATATTTTATCAGAAGTATCATTTGGGGCATGGTATGCACTCTCACCCCTTTGAAATTTGTGTTTATCATTGACCTTAATGTTAATTAGTTCTAATCAATATATATTTACTAGATATTTTGACCAAGTGATCAATTTTTTTTTTATTTTTATTATAATTTATGATACTCTTGTATACTTAGTCATAGTTTGCATATATTTCTGTTTAGATTGTATGCATAATTTTGTGAATAACATTTAAATTTAAGTAAAAATGCTTAAATTAAAAATATAGGAAATTCATTTTTACAATAATTGATCTGTTGGGGGGGGGGGGGAGATATTTGCCCCATAAAATATTTGCATCCCCTTATAAGAATCTGAAATAGAGCCTATGTATTTAATATACAATGCCACAACATAAACAGGTTTTTCGAATATTATAATTAGTGTATTAACTAATAAAATTAACAGGTTATAGTGTAGTAACATTTAAAATTTAAATTTAAGTAATTGTAAATTAAAAATATAAAAAATTAATTACATCTTCGATAATAATATTTATTTTTTTAATTACCTAGGGAAGAACATAACATTGATAAATAATTTATTTAATAAATTGCTCATCAAGAAGAAAAATTGCTATCAAGTACAAAGTTTCAATAATAATAATATTAATAATAATAATAATAATTTAAAAAGATACTCATTTTCTCTTTTAAAATTTAAAAAAAATTAAAGAACTTAAAAATTTTAAAACCAATCTAAATAGTAAATGGTATTAATTAATCAATAGTGACATACTTAAATTTAATTCATCTTTATTTTAGACTCCAAGAACTTATTCTGCTAATAATATTGATGATTTAACTGAAGTTGTTGGTCATATAAAAAGCAAGTATCCAGACACAATTTTAGGTGGAATTGGTGTATCTATGGGTGGGTAAGTAATCTATGAGTTATTTATTTTATTTTTCATGTTTATAAATTATAGTTATTATTTTACATAATAGGCTTTTATTGGGAAGTTTTTTATCATCTAATGAGCAATATAATCACAAATACTTTTCTGCTGCTATGTTAATCTCAGTGCCATGGAATTTAATTGCGACTACAGAAAATATAGAAAAACCATTTTTAAATCGTCTTCTCTGTTCATACTTAGCAAAATGTCTTTGTAACCTTATTGAAAAGTAAGTTTAATTGTTTGTCAATTATATTTAATGAACTTATTTATTACAATGATGAATGTTTTATTTTTATATTTTAGTAGTAGCAATATGTTAAGTTCATCAAGTCATAAATGGGATTATAATCAAGTCATTAAAGTATAGAATTTTTATATATAACTATTAATTTTGGTAAAATAAAAAATAATGTACTTTCAGAGTAAAACAATAAGAGAATTTGATGCAAACTATACTATCAAGTTATTTGAACATGAATCTGTTGAAGATTACTATAAAAAAGCATCACTTCATGATAAATTGGATCGTATTAAAGTGCCTTGTTTGTGTTTGAGTGCTGCTGACGATCCATTCTGTTTGGAATCTGGTAAATATTATTAAGTAAATTTAAAATAGTTTGTATTGTAATTAGGATAATGTTGATTTTTGTTTAGATCTGCCTCTAGAGAGTGCTGACAATAATGAAAATGTAGCAATTTTGGTTACAGTTAAAGGTGGACATATTGGTTTTATAGAAGGTGTATGGCCATTTAGCAATAGAAATGAATTTATGTTTCGTATAATTGACCAATATTTTAGCTCAATATTTAAAAATAATAACTATAAGAAATATAATAGTTAAAATTGTTATTTTTATTAGTATATTAATTAGAATTAAGCGTATTTACTGTTTTAGATAAAATATATTATGATCAAATATTTTAATTTGTTTAATGTATACATATTTTATTATATTTAAATAGATTTATTTTTTCTATGGTTAAGTTTAAAAAATATATTAGATTTAATTATTTGCTATGTACTTATTATTTAAAATTATAAGTTATATTGAACTTAAAATAAAAATTTTACTCAATAGGACATTTTTTCTATTCATATTTAAAAAATCTAAATGTCTTTAATCAATTATTAAAAATGATAATTTTAGGACTATCTATTAATGTTTTAAAATACATAAAAATGGTGCAAGGCATTTCACCATACTTATAATTAAAGACCGGATTTTGCATAAAATGCATGTTGTTATTTTCAACATCATATACATGCAGTCAATGAGTGTCCACAAATCATTACTTGATTGATTAAATATCAAAATTTTATACTGCATATTTTTGCATATTCTGACGTTAATGCATGATCTGCATATTTTTGCATATTTTAACAAAAACCGTAAAAATATACAAATAAAAACATAGATCATAGGTACGTTTATATAATATTATAATATCAAATATTTAACGTCTCAAAGAATATCTCAAAGGCTCCGTATAGAATTCAATTATATAAAGAAATGTTGCCAATTACACATTTACCACCGCAGCCAATAATTACCCGTTGGGGTACTTGGCTAGAGTCAACCTTTTTTTACGCAGATCATTTTGAAGAGTTCAAAAATGTGATTGAAAACTTAGAAGATAATACAAAATGCATTCAAAATTGTAAATCAATTTTTAATAAATTTAATGTAAAATATGATCTTGCTTACATTAAAGCAAATTTTTTATGTATCGTTGAAAGTATCAAAAAGCTTGAAACCTCTAATTTGTCCCTTGTAGACTCGTTAAAAATTTTAGAACAAGTGGAAAACTCTGTTAATGAACTTCCTACTAGTGCAAATAGTACAATAATTAAAACAAAATGTAAAAACGTTTTGAATAAAAATAAAGGATTAATGGTTTTAAAAGAAATTTCAAAAATACTTCAAGGTGACAGTGCTAATTTCGACGATTTATCTGTTCCAAATTATTCGCTGGATATAATAGCAAATTTTAAATATGCTCCAATCACCAGTGTTGATGTCGAACGTAGTTTTTCATCATACAAGTACATTCTTACAGATCACCGTCATAATTTCACGGAAATAAACATGGAACATACTTTGATAACTTATTGTTTTTCAAATTAATAATTTACTACCTTCAATAAAATTGTTCGTACTTTTTTCCTATTTATATCAGTATATCACCAATGTATCTACTATTTAATTTTAATAAAATATTTTTTACAATATATCAATGTTTAAAAATTAAATTACAATTTAACAAAAAATTAAATTTTTGTACTATATTATACATGTAACTTTTTGTTTATGAAAAATGTAATAAAATTAATAAATAATTATCACTGCAAAATTAAAATCAAATATAAAATTGAAATTTTATTTTGCATGTTTTGCATTTTTTCCTTGCATATTTTGACTTTTTTTAGTGCATGTTTGCATGCATATTTTACAATTTAAAATGCATATAAATCCGGTCTTTACTTATAATAGTCAGCGTAAATAATGCATATTGCTCCTTTTGTTATAGTATACTTGTACATAAAATTCAAAGATATAAAGTTGCTAAAAATAGAAAAAACAATTAACATTATGTTAATTAATGAATCCAACTTGCTAATATATTTCGTTAATACAATATGTTCCATAGATTAAAATTGATAGATAATATTATTGAAAACATATAGCCATGTGGATAATTGAAAAATGATTTCTCTAAATCTTATTAAATTTCATGATATATTTTTGGGGAGTTAAATAAAAATCCTATTTTGGAATACAAAGAATCTAAATCTAAAATTTAATTTCACTTTTTCAAGGTTTTTTTATTAATCTATATTATTGTATTTTCTACCTTTTTAGTGCTTTATATTCAACTGTTCTATTTTTTCTGTATATTTTTAAGCAGATGTCTTGGAAATTATTATTAATTTTTGATTATTGAAATTTGAGTACCTGGTACTTACTATATGCATGTCGTTTAACCTATAGGTAAATACATGATAACTAGTTTGAAAGTTATTTGGGTTTTAATAACTTAAAAGTTTTAGAAAAATCAATTTAATTATGATAAAAATTAAAAGATAATTCGTTAACAATTTAAAATTAATAAAGATTGTCAGACTACATGATTAAATATTATATATCAAAAACTTCTCCTCAAGCGAATATTGCCAATAGCTGATGAAGCTAAAATACTACCCAACTCTCAATTTGGTTTTCATGATTGTCACTCAACGATTCATCAGGTTCATCACCTGGTTGACAAAATTGCATTTGCCCTCGAGGAAAAACTATATTGCACTGGTGCTATCATCGACGTCTCCCAAGCCTTTGATAGAATCTGGCATTCAGGCCTTCTCTATAAATTAAAACTTCGCCCTAGCCACTTCTATCTGATCCTCAAATTCTACCTTGAAGATAGGTTCTTTTCAGTACGTGTAGGTTCTTTTTCTGCTGAAATAAAAGCAGGTGTATCACAAGGTGCAGTAGTTACTCCCCTACTTTTCAATATCTATATTTCAGACCAGCCTACCTCATCTAATACTCTTATCGGCGGCTTTGCTGATGACAAATCTATACTAACAACAAGCTCAGATCCGGTCATAGCATCTTTTTACATTCAAGATCATCTCATTTTTTCATTCCTTTAATCATGGTACAAAACTTGGGATGTAAAAATGAATGAAATCAAATCCATTCACGGTACCTTTGCGGTTCGCCACGAAATATGTCCACCGCTTTACCTTGATAATCAATTGCTTCATTACATTGCCTAGTGTGTACGGTACCTTAGTATTCTTATAGACTGCCGTCTTATCTAAAAACCTCACATAATTAGTAAAGACCACACACTCAATAACCGCTTACGACTCCTTCGACCACTTCTAACATCTAAGCACATGAAGTTCTCCAATAAACTCCTGATCTACAAACTCCTTCTCAGGCCCATCTGGACCTATGGGATTCAAGTATGGGGTGCTGCCAAAATTTCCAATCTAAAACCTTATGTATAATACTAAAAGCGCCATTCTATGCCTCTAACCACACCTTCCACACTGACCTCAAAATACCTTTTGTCTCCGAACTAGCCAAAACACATTATAAACGTTTCAACACCCGACTAGCCCACCATAAGAATCTCTTGATCTCCGATCTATCTTCTGCTTCTATTCCAGGCAATCCTATTAAAAGACTTAAAAGACAGTGGTGTCGTGACCTACTAGTCTAAATAATTTATGTTCATGTTGTAATATCTCCGCTAGGAGGCCTCTACAGCCGTCAGATCTGTCTTATTTACTTATTTTTTTTTTTTTAGCTATACCATCAACTGTTCTTATTGTTCTTATTTTGTAAAAAGTTGAATAAATAAAACTTTAAAACAAAATTTAAACAAAAAATTAAATATATTTTATATTTGTGTAAAATCATTTTTTAAGACTATTTATCCTTAGTAAATACATTTTAATAACTCAAAAACTACTAGTTTGAGTTTCGATATCTATAACTTTTTAGAAAAAATAAGCTTAGATATTGCCACAAAATTTCAAAAAAGCAGTGTTTGAAAATTATTATTAAAAAATAAAAATGGGTAAGACATCTTTGGAACTTTGTTTATTGTGTATAGACATATATTGTATGAAACACTTTTTACCCTGATCTTTTGAATGTCTGTAAATGCTCTTAGTTATAATATATAATAATAATTAATAATTAACATGAGTAATATTATTGTGCTTACTTATTATAAACTATTTATAATATTTTAAAACAAATTCAAATTTTAATAAGAATCTTATTTTATAGGTTATAAATAGCTACCTATTAGTTTTTCACTAGCCCAAATTCGTGTACGAAAAACTAGCAAAGTCGATTTACTCTGTAGCAGACTTCTCAGTGTATCTTATCATTGAAATGGATTAATAGATGCGTTAAATCTGAATTCAATGGTAAATTGTTGCATAAAGGAATAAAAATGACATAAAACTCCACTTTAGCCTCTATTTCTAAAAATATTTTAAATCTTGTATATTTATAAAACACCCAATTTCGTCAAAATTCAAATTTAGAATCTACTAATGTAAGACCAACTTATAAGAAATCTTGCAATAAATTATCAAATTTTTTATTTACAAAAACATGATAGATATTATAAATACATCGAAAAAGTCTAAAATTACAAATATATGTCTATAAATAATTTTAAAGGAGCTAAAATATTAAAATTTTCAATTGAAATGATTTGAAATTATTTATGTTTAGAAAATACTTTTTTTTAAATATATAGTGAAAAAGTTTCTAAAATTATTTATTTGCAAATTACAATAAAAAGATAAAATCAATTTTGTTAAAAATTGTTTTTGCGTTAATATTTCTGTTTTTCTTAATTATTTTGATAAGTAAATTTGTATTCTTGACCCCTTTCCCCCCTTTATAATGTACTAGATTAAATTTGTGATTAGAAACATTACTCTAAGTGAAAAGTGAAGAATTTTTACTTTTCCTAAAGAAACGTTAAATACGTACACACACACCCACATACACAAAAATATTTTTTGAAAAAAGATTTTATTAAAATTAGTACCTATCTAAATTTAAAGGAAACAATAATAATAAAGGAAAATTGGTAAACAAAAAGTTATGCATTTATGAAGTGGCACGTAAATTCGGTACCATTTATTAGAGCATTAGAGCGTAAAACTTCAGCAAATGTATTGAGTTGGAAAAAATATCAAGAATTTTAAAGGTCACTTTTGTAGTAGGTATGCAAATTAATTCTTTTTCTGTTACCCATAAAATAATATTTACCTATTTGAATATTTTTTTTTTTACACGGTTCTTTATAATTAGAGCAAGGACTTTCATGCATTCGCATATTTTTTCTGGTTTACCTTTTCGTATGCAGAGTAAGTAGGTACAAAATACATTTCACAACGTTTATGACTGAAATCTCAAAGTTTTTAGTGCATATTTTTGCATGTTTTGACATTTTTGGGTGTAAAGCCGTAAAGGACATATTTTTTGATTATAAGAGCATATTTTTAGTTTGTAGTGTATATTTTGAAGGTTTTTGGGAAATCACGTTTTTCAGTGAATATTTTTCATGATTAAGGACATAAATTATTATATTTAACTGTTTCTTTATTCTCATAAAGACAAAAAAAGATTCATTTTATCATAGTTGCAAATCTATAGATTATATTGCAATAAAGTGATATCAAATTCAGTTAAAACTTATAGAGAGATAATATAAAATTATTAAAATTAAATATAAAAGAAAAAATATAATTTTTAGAGCTATAAATTTTAGTGTATTAATTTTTTTGAGGACATATTTAATTGCATATTTTAAATTTTTGGATGCATAAGTGCCAGTGGCGCAAATAGGGAGGGGGGCTTGGAGGGACTTATTCCCCCCCCCCCCAAAAATGTTCAGCACTTTTGTTCATGAAAAATAGTAAATACTAATTTTTTTATAAAAAAATATGTCTTGGTTTTTTTTTTTTTATTGGTTAGTAGCAACACTGTGTCATAAAGTTAAAATCATTTTATTTTGTATCAGTCACAAAAAATGTGGGACTTCAGTCTCCTCAAAATAATTAAGCTTTTTGCGCCACTGATAAGTGCATATTTGATAAATTTTTAATGCATGAAAGTCCTTGCTCTATTTATAATTCTCTTACCACATATAATAAAATAAATATAAAGAAAAATGTTCAGATTGTTAAGTATTTATTATTCACTATAATATTTAATAATACATTATGCATAACTAGGTAGTAGGTACCTATAATACATACGTACGCGTATTGTGTTTGTAGTGCGTATACCCTGTACGTACGAGGTTCATGTATTTCCTTACCTAACGACTTTGTAAATCGATAAAAAAACAAATTGCAAAGGTACTCGTAACATGATGCAATACATGCTTATACTATACCCACGTCTATAAATATTTTTCACTTGTTGAGAGTACATTTAAATAGTTATTTTTTACTTACACATCAATTTACTAACTGTATACATATGCCAATTTTTACTATATCACTATATTATACCATGCTATACTGAGACACTAAGTTATTTTATCTAAAAGGAAATTTGTCAAAAAATAAATAAAAATAATTTTAGGATCGTTATACTACAATGCACAAATAACCCAGTACACGGAATTGACCTTGTAAACTACATAGTATGTATACACTAAAAATAATAATCTATATAGTTTCGAGTTGTCCTGCTGTTCGTAATATTTACTATAGCGCTAGCGCTACTCGTCTGTCTGACCTACCCTTTTGACCAGTTATCTCGACAAAAAAAAAAAAAAAAAAAAAAAAACTTAAAAATTGTCATCCAATTGGGATATAATGATGATTATAATTTATAATACATAAACCTAATATTATAAACCATACTTTGATACGTACCATGTACTATGTATGTACATTTTAAATTATATCAGACATCTTACACGGTATATCTACGTGAAATATTCTATATATTTGTTCAATACCTGCGAATCTTGTGCAACCATAGGGTAATTACACAGTATTAATACACAAAACACATTTATTATTTCAGAAACTATAACTTTTTTTTGAAAATACATGTTTTACATTATTTTAAAGGGTTAAAAAATAATATTATTTTTATTATTATAGTTTTTTAATATTTTTTTTATGATGGTGTGCATTTTTAATTCCTTATTATTCCAAATTTCTAAAGTACATTATATTTTGAAGTATTTTAATTTATAAAAATTAAATTTTGGACTAGTAATTTATGAATAATAAACTTATAAATACTTGAGTTTAGATGATTCGAGTGGAATGGTACAAGGGTTGAAGAGCAACCCACAAAATGTTGGTTAAACGCGGAGTAGTTCGTCTAAACTTTTAATACTTAAACTTATACTTATAACCAAAGATTTAATATATTAGTGTTTTTAATTTATGCTATACTTATAACTATAATAAATTATTTGGTATTTTTGTCAAAATTCGATTTTTATAGATTTAAAATATATATTCTGATTGATAATTGATATTATACTTTAGTATATGAAATTAAAAATGTAGGTAGGTATGTTATTGTCATGCAAAATAAAGAGTAAAAACCTAAAAAATGACGACGATAAAAAACTTAATTTTTTTTCAAAAATAAAGTAATTGTAAGTAACGACAAAGAATTATTAAAATGAAACGTTTTCAAAAACGTTAGTTTTTTTCTAAAAAAAAAAAATGATATAATATACATAATATACTTATACCGGATACTTATGTGCACAGCCAGACACACAGTCAATAGTAATAATAATTTATTAATTATGATATAAAATATACGTACATAGATATAAATTAAGTGCATATAAAAACAGTGCGTTAAGAGGGCGGTCGGTAACAAAATATTTGAATTTTAATATATTTTTCTTAAAATCTTTTTTCATTTTAATTCAATATCATGGCGAAAAAAAAACCGTAACATTTTAGGTATTGCAGTATATACCGTCCTGTACCAATGTACTATAATATTATACCGTATTGTGACCAGTCTCAAAATTAGCATTAATTTTTGCCGTCGACGTAATAGGCTGGTTGGTACCTATCTACTTATAGTATACCTACGTAATACGCGGTAATTAAAAAAAAAAAAAAAACCATTGTATAGCTGATGATAATAGTAAAAAATGTTTTTATATTAAGCACAACACATTTATATCATAGCATGTATAATGTTTAACACTTTTTTGGTGTTTTTTTTTTTTTTTTTTATCTACCGGCCAATACATGATTAATACATATGATTTAATGATCTGAACCGGTAAAATATAGTAAATAGCAATCAAAAATATTTAATGCTTTTTCGACCGGTTCGTGTTGCAAAACTAAGGAAAAAAGAATACAATCACTCTGTATACGGCAATGTAATAACATAATACATAACTGTGCGTATGACGGCAGCTGCGGCGCGACCAGCGCACAAAACTTAAACGCGCCGTCGTCGTGTTCGCCGGTTTTCGCAGACGGTAGTGCCCGCCGTTCAGCAGCCAACATGGATCGGCTATCGATTGTAAAGCTCGCGCGGAACACTGTGCTTCCGTTGGCTTACATATTCACCGCCGCCGCGTTCGTGATAGCCGGCTACTTTTTGGCCCTAAAAACACAGGTCGGTACTTCACGTTTTTATAATATAGTATATTATGTGCGCATATATATAGTATATTATAAGCCTATACCTATCCTAACCTTTACCGTTAATACTGTTAACACTTATGAGTCTAGAGCTAGGAACTTAATGCTCAAAAAATCCATGAAATATCCATGCATTTTTACGCTTGAAAATTATCATGTATACGCTCTACAAATAAGCAGAATTGTTAAGACACTCTTTTAAAAATATTTTATTTTTCATTAAAAAACTAAAAATTACAAAATTATTTATTATTAAGCAAGGTGTTTTTAATTTAATTTTTTCGACAAAAAAAAGCTGCATCTAATCTAGAATATCATACTAACTGTATTAATACCAGACGAAAATGCATTATAAGATACCAAAAAATGAATCGACATCAACTGAATACGATTGTATTCGGCGTATTTTTTATCAGCCGACTTTATGTTTTCTATAAAACACAAATAATTGGAAAAACACACAATAAATAGATATTTTTATCATTTTAATCTATTTTTTTCAATTACTGAAAAAATTAATATTAAATATTGTATTGTACGTATAAAATATTATTCTCTGTGTTATATATAATTTTAATTTTTTTTTTATTAATAAAGTGGGTGCAATTTGTACAAAATATGCAAAATAAAAATAGTTGTTTTAAACTTTTATAGTGCCTACTATGAAATAAATTTTTGTAATACTTAGCTGTGTTTTGAATGATTATTGGAAAACATGCAAACTCCTATAAGTCCTTAGCCTTACATATAATAAATGTATTGTCGTCGTAAGCACCATAGCTGGTATATTAATGGAGGTATCTGCATTTCAATCAATATAACGTTATACCTGCACGGGTGATATAATAGACAATATTATGTGTTTACGATGTACGTGATGCAACGCGCTGCACACATAATATTTATTGTTATAATAGGTCAAATGATATATTGTGTGGATCATTGTAGATATTGTTGTTATAGCGCATTTGCCTTTCGGCTACCCATTATATAGCTTTGTCGTTTTCACTCCCAATTTGTCGTCGAATCGTGTATCCACTATCCATATACGTATTATACTCGTAATAGGTTTTTTATGAGCTACGAGTATTTTAAATTTAGGTGAACGGAGTGAAGTTATATGAGGATATCCCGCAAAATGTTGATCTATTACTCCAGTTGCCAAACTTAAATTTTTACTCCAAAAATATTCTGTTTCAGAATATGAAATTAAAAATGTATGTTGTCGTTCAAAAAAGTAAGAAACTCAAAAACCTATAACGATAAAAATAATTAAAAAATGTTGTTTTGTTTTGATTAGATATTATATAAAAAAAAATGTTTTCAAAAACGTTAAAAGATTTTGAAATAATGGGTGGTGTTCGATAAAATAAACACTGAATATAATATTTTATTAATTTTTTTAATTTGTACTAACAACTCATGATACTTATACTGATAGATTATAAATGTACTTATCTACCAATAACATTATAATAATAATATTGATACCATTTTGTTATAATACACAATATACATACCTACATAAATTATAACTTGTCAATACTTAATCATTTTTGGGAAAAAAATATTTCCAAAATTAACGGTGAAAAGCGGAATAAAATATCTAGAGGTTTGTTTTTAGGCATAATAATATTATTCAGAAATTATACCACTGTTTAAGTACTGTAGTATCGTTGCTCACGAGATAAATTACACGATCATTATGGTATCACAAACTTATATTAATAAGCTAGAAATAGTAAAATTGATCATTAGTTTTACGTATATGTGGTCGTATTTGTAATTCTACAAGCATACTCAATATAATTCGATTTCCAACGTACTGACAGCGGTTTTTAGTTTTACAGATTATAATTATATGTAATTATTTTATAAAAATGAAAACCTAATTGTTATCGTTAAATATTATTTTTAATGATAAATATATTTTATAATTTATATTGTTCATAATCAGTGGCGTCGATCCACTCGATTCTATTATTCAACTATGATAAATGTCATAGGTGATTTAAGTGGGGGTGGGTACCTCGCGTTATTTGAAATTGGTAAAAACGAGGTTTCGAACTATCATGTCTCAAGAGAAATTCGAAACTTTGCTTATAATTAATTTTAAAATGAAGAGTTAAACTTGAAAAGGGATGATATTATAAAAATGTTTATGATTAAATGAACCTCTGTAGATTAGGGGTGAGTGGTAGGTATATTACTATATAGACGTTTGTCATAGGTATTATACGAGTAGATGACATCGGGTTCACTGTTTATAATAAATGTGTAAAATTATAAACTATATTGTAGTTTTGTTTAATAATATAGTTAACATTTAAAAATTAAAAGTATGTTACATTGAGATAATATGCTAAATACAATTTCATTTATTGTAAAATAGCTACAAATTATTTGTTCATAAATTATATAATTCATTATTATTTAAATAATTATCAATAATTAACTCGGTAATTTGTTAAAATTATTGAGTCATTAATTTGTTACATATTTTGTCTTAAAACGGCACATTGGTAAAAAATATTTCTTTGCCTACACCCATAGAATTAAGTAAAAAATATTTCTCCGTATTTCACTAATTTTAATAACATTATTGAAATTGGTATCATTTCCTATTATAATAGTTTAAAAAAAATACAATTAGATGCCTGTTTTCCGGAAGTGTTTTTTTTAAATATTTTAATTTTCCATATACTTATAATTATTTATAATTTTCTACAAAAAAAAATAAAAATATTTACAAAACTGTTATTATAGGTTATAATACCTTAATTTTGACAATGTCATTATCGTAGAATTGTAAAAATTTAAAAGAATTAATAATTTATTCATTTATAGCTTCTGAAATGTTGGTACTCGTAATTTCATAAAAATTTATTCATTTAAAATTATTAGATGAATCAGATAAAAGAGCCCAAATTCTTTATTTTAAATTCTAAGCGGCTCCGATAAATGTATATTGATCTTACGAAGATATGTGTTTTTCTTTTTTTAAGTGTCTCTTATCATGTTTTTGATTAGTAAAAATGTTCCGATTTTCAATTTGGGAGTGGTGCCATGTGGAAAATTGGATCTAGTAGATACTTTGGGGTATTAAATTTAAACAATTTAACGTTTAACAAGTTTTTGACAAAATTAATTTCTTTAATTTGTTATAATTCAAAAACAAAATACTGAAAATCTTAAAATTAGAGTAGTACCATTTTCCCAGGATTATTTAAATAATATTTATGAAAACTTCAATAAGTATTAAGTATACAGTGTACACTGTACAGTATACTTAATTACATCAACAATCAAACTTCAGTTTGGAAATAAATTTTAAACATTCAAAATAAAATAATTAAAAAATTTGGTATTTTTAAAATTATGATTAAGATTAAGAAGGATGATTGGCTTTATTTTTAAATTTCAACACGAAAGACGTACTGAATTGTAAAAATATCATCTAAATTAAAATTATTATAGTTCTGAAGTAGGAGTGTGTTATACATATGACTTAAATAATAAGTCACTGAGCCAACAAGGAATCTAGAATTTTTCACTAATCAATTATAATCAGTGGCGTGGTAACCTGAAATTATTTTAAATCTAGTCTATTATTCCACTTACTTAAAACTTGATAAAGGCATTTTATGTCATATTTTTAACTGCTATCGATACTTCTCATAATGAATACTAAATTATTATCCATTGGTCAAAACTCACCTTTTAAAAAGTGGCAGCCCTTTTTACCACACCATTGATTATAATGTATATTGTATATATTATATTTATATAGTTATTACTTATTAATTTAGTAATTTAATTCTTATTAGATTTAGATATCTTTTACAAAGACAAAGATATTATCTTTATTTTAAGCTTTGCTATCATAAGTCACGGCTCATATAATTTACATAATATAATATAGTAATTAATAGTAAATATAATAAAAAAATTGGTATGGTAAAATAATAATATATTAATGACATGTTAATGAACTTTGATTTGAACTGATCAAGCTGAAGGCTTTTCATATTTCATATGTGATTTTAGACTAGGTAACAATCTTATAATAATATATAAATCGTCACATAAGACACTTTCTGTTTAAATTCAATACAGAGCAAATCAGCAAAGGCAGTTTATTAACTTTTTTTAATACATTATAAAATTAACAAAGTTTACATCTTCAATAGCTTTCATATATTTTTTTAAATTTCTTTACAACTCAATTAGTTTACGAAAACATACGATAGGAATTAATACTATCTAACTGCTATGCGTGTCATTGTATAAAAATCATTCCCTGTAATGGGTTATAAGTTATAACGTATAATGCACCTAGCTAATGTTGACATCTAATTATCTATTTACATATATTTTTTACTTATCCATTACATTATTACACTACCTATTCATTTTAATTTAATATGTTGTATAGGCGTATAACTAATTTCCACTACTATATTATTATGTACTCTCAGTAGTCAGTACTCAGTACTAAAACACATAACTAATAAAAATAAGTATTAGATATATACCCAAGTAAGTAAATAACTATTTAATATTATTAGTTATTTTAATAATTTATAGAAATATGGTAATCAAAAAGTTGTAATTTATTGTATTGCATTAACTCATAGAACACGCACCTGAACTTATTATGTATATCACGCGAGTATATTTTTGTAGCCATATCATACAATTGCAAAAACTAAAACTTTTTAGAATTTCCAAATAATATAATAATAATATATAGTTGAATATTTTATACATTAGAACGTCTACTTAAAATTTAAATTAATATAAGTAATTATTATTATATTATGTATGATTAATGGTTATATTGGATAAATGTTGTCTTATGTGAAATTTAATAACTTCCAAGATGTGTAAGTACTTAAAGTTTTAACTATTAATACAACACCTGAAAAATCAATTAAAATAAATACATCCTAGAAGACCAAAATTTCTAGTTGAAATTTTGAAAAAGAAAATATGTTCCAAGTTTTGATGAATAATGTGAAACTTTTTATTTTTATCAATACAATTTTATATATACTATTATACTAAATTAATAATTATAGTAAAAGTGACATATTTATTAAGGAATTTGAAAATCAAATACACGTATTTATGTGTATAAATATATGAATTATAATCTTATCATGTACTAAATAAAAACATTTTTTTTTTAGTCTTCTATGTTGTTTTGTAAAGATGGAAACTTCAAGCAATTCCTTATTAAAAAAGTACCTGCTGTCAGAGAAAAATATTTACCTGCAATTTGTGGTTTCAATGGGTATGCACATACAGTTTTGGCGACATTGTTTAGAGATATCATTACACCTACAGTAGTGTATGACAGGTAAGTTGTACTAAGGTTTAATAATAATTAATAACTATATATATATATAAATATTATTAAATTTGGCTTATAAAAATAAAAACGTAAAATGTATAAGTAAGTTTAATTCAAAATATGTATGTTTTAGTCATGAATTCTTTGAAAAATACTTATTATACTATTTTAATTTTTAATTATAAAATGTTGTATAGGTGTTAGAGGTAATATAAATAATTATTAGTGATATTAGAAACTCTAAATTTTTAAAACAAACTAAACCCAAACCAAACTATTAATCAACTCTAAAAACTTAAAAAAAAAAAAAAATTGCGAGAAAGACGAATAAATGTTATAATATTTTTTAACCTCACAATAGTTTTTTTTTAAAATAAATTTTATCGTTCTTGATCATATTTAAAGATTTTCAAACTAAACTATTTGCAGACCTCTGATTAAGTTGATTTAAAATATTTAGATAGTGAAAATATTTTGATAATTTTCCGAAATATTATAGCTTAAATGAACCGAATATAGAGTTTTCGGTTTGAATCGTTTCAAAAATCGAACTCTATTCGTAGTATCATCAATATTTATTCTATTTTTAGTGTATTATCTACTATAATTCGTATTAAAAATAAATACTGCAAAATTGATGAATTATTAAAAATATTTCAACGGTGATTTAGTCTATACTTATTTTAATTTTTACTTATAAATTATAAACTATGAGTAAAAAAAATATAAATATGCTTGAATTTATAATAAAAAAAATTAATTATTCATAAAATCAGCGAACTATTATCAAGTATAAGTAGCATAACTCAATGAGGTGTACTATATTATGTTGGTAGTTTATGTATCTATTCAACTAAATTTATTGTTCTGACTCATTTTTGGCGAGTATTAAAAGTTCTAAGACTCGGTGGGCTGGAAATTAGTATTTACCCTATACGATACTCACTAAGTAGACCATAGCACCGTCTATCGGTCAAGTCTTAGACAAGTATATACTTATACACCGCACGTGATTATTGTCTGTATGTTTCATTTAGGGAAACGGCATAAGTGCATATTATATATGACGAAGCCATGTTTCACATACGATAATACGTGTTCAAAAAACCTACTGTACTGTACGTCTGTACCCTACCATAAAACAACAATGACAACAACAACAAAATAAATATTTTGATTTAAAACAAAGCTAACAATTAGTATACAAAATATCAAGAAGAGAATTCTTAAATAGTTTCACAAATTAATTAGCATTTTAATGTATACTGTATTAGAAAGAATGTTGGAGAGTTGAGAATTTTAGATATATAGACAGTTATATGTAATGTGAAAGTATATTGGTAGTTATAGATTGTAGTTTATAATCAATACATTAGTAAGTAAAGAAAATATCTATCTGAAAGAACTAAGAGGAAAAAAGAGAAGTGATTAAATATAGTATACATACAGTTAAATTTAATTAATAAAAATAAAGCATCAAGACTTGATAAAAATAATATAAAAATAATTACTAAAAATTTTAAACATAAAAATAAATTGTAAGAAATAATGTTGACTATATATATGTATATTGTATAGTAATAAATAGTACCAATAGTGATGTAATTATTTGGAGGAGAACAAAACGGGTACTTATGCCTCTCCTCCTCTTTAAATTTTTTTTTGGGGCAGAGTTATTCTTTTGTCCACTTCCATATATGCTAAAATGGCTGCATTCGCATTGCATGCCAAAATAAAAAAAAATTTTCCGAATTGCATACCACCTCTTAGAGAGGTATGTTCGAAATGCATGCCGTACACTCACAAGTTTATCTTTATTAATCATGCATTTAATTATATGGACAGCTTAAACTTTATTTTTGACTTTTCTAATTAAAAAAAATCATGAATAAAAACACCTTATGATAGGATTGTTACAACTGATTAGTTTCTATATTGAAATATTTTTTTATTCCAGTAAATATTTAACCAAACTGTGCCTATTGCAGTGCATTGTGGTCTGTTTCGCAGACATACGTATCAATTAATCACTACTATAATTCAAACTAATCAGTTTCTATTCACGCGTTAAAAAAAAAAAAAAAAAATAGAAAAATCAAAAATAAAGTTTAAGTTGTGCATGATGAATAAAGTTAAACTTGTGAGTATACGGCATGCAATTCGGACATTCAATTTACGTTTATTTTTTTGGCATGCAATTCGGATGCACTAGCTAAAATTAGAAATCTTTAAAACTTCTAAAACAAAGAAAGAATACAATGCGTTTAATTTACTCAAACAAAATAAATAATGTTTTCCTCAAATTAATATATTGATATATACAATAGTTATCTTTTTTTTTAAACAAGTTATTCAAATACCTTTTTTTCATTACATTTTTTATAGGTACTTAAAATTTGTTTCCAAGCAATAGAAGGAATTTTAAGACTTTTATTAAAGCAAAAGATTAGGTTATTGTTTCATTTTTGAGGACTACATTATTTTTTTCCCCACCATACCGAGTACGCCATTAATAAATAATTTTTAGTATAAATTATATATTATTATTTATTGCTTAATAAATTTAATTTATAAACTAAAATAATAGCCTTATATTATAAATAAGCTTAATATGTTAATAATAATAATAATCATGTTTTACTATACAATTCTATAGGGAAATCTTGACGTTAAACGACGGTGGTGAACTTGCTGTAGACTGGTTGTATCCAAAATCTAAAGGTCCACAGAGTTTAGTCACTGTGATTATACTCACTGGACTAACAGGCGATAGTCAATCTGAGTATGTCAGAGAAACAGTTAATGAGCTGTTTGAAAAAGGCTATTGTTGTGTTGTTTTTAATTACAGAGGCCGAGGAGGTGTAAAGCTGAAGGTAAAACAAAATGTTAACGCTAAGTAAAATAAACGCATAATTTATGTATGATAATAATATTAATAAACAAATACATTTAATTTATAAATATTATAAATATTAAAGAATTAAAAAAAATACAGTTTTAAATTAAGGCCACCAAATAAGAAAAAAGGACTATCATATAAAACTATTAACAATTTTTTTTTTTTTGAGAATTTATAAGAATAATTTTTTAACTTATTAAATTTACTTAGATTTTATAAATATCACAATAATAGTTAATTATGATAATTTTATTGATGAAAATATTTTATTATTTAAGGTTTCCGTTTAATATATAGAAGAAAATTAAATATTTAAAAATATTTAAACATTTATAAACAATTGCTTTTTTTCTTTCTTTTGTTTCCATGAATTAAATTTTGCGGATGCTAAAATCACACTCATTTTATACAAATTCAAAACTCGTAGCTCATTAGTATGTTTGACATACACGTTCAGCTTAAATGTCACGTTTATCGTAAAACTAGATTTTATTTTACATGTATAATATTGTTTACTCAAATTAATTCAAGGCTTTAACGTTATAGTAGTTGCCTATACCTTACGCCGAGTATGCATAGTTTCACCACTTATTCTCTACTTTAGTCTATAAGTATTAATACGGTGTTCATTTAAAATTGTTAAACAGAAGTGGGTACTTAACCTTTCGTAAAAAACACGATCCATTACGCCCTTTAAGTAACAACTAGTTGTATAAGTTATAAAACGTAAACCCTTCAACCGCAATTAAGCTAAAATATTAAATATTATTATTCCATTTTACCCAACTAGGTATAATAAATCATAAAGTTTGCAATCATTAAAGACCGATTGAATTTCTACAGACTGCTCGAACGTACTCAGCGACGAACATCGAAGACTTGACTGAAGTGCTGAAACACATTAAGTCCAAACGACCAAACAGTCCGATCGCCGGCATAGGATTCTCAATGGGAGGGTAACATTGTCGTCGTCATCCTTGCCACGGTCACAGTAGTTGTAATATACACTATAACTGAGAACGAACGTACCGAAGGTACCCACAATGTTTGTTCGAGTGAAAAAAGAGTTTCCAAAATACTGTTTTTTTGTTGATTTTATTTATGACGATTTGATACCTATGATTTTTACTAACTCTGTCGCATGTGCATGTGCTACTTTTTGACTCTATCGGGGACAGTGTAAAATCTATTCCAGAATATTGATTATTTTATATAAATTTTATATAAATATTTATTATTTATTCCAGAATATCAAATATTTTTTCGGAGTATTTATACAGTGCACTCTTTATATTCATACTATCAATTATTATTCTGCTTGTAATACGATATTTTTTCTGCATTCGGTGTTTTAGTATTTGATTCACTATTATACAAACCATGTAGGTAATTGAATTAAAAAAAAAACCTGTGTAAAAGTTTTGGTAAGTTATTTAAAACGAAATCATTATTAAATTTAATCACTTAATTTATAATGAAAAACAAATAGACAAGTAATCACATTATAATATTTATAATAGAACAAAGAGCAATCGATTATTGTAATATTTAAGAGTACGTTTTATACTTACAATTTATTATTTATTGTAGATATCATTTATTTGACCATAATTTTGTATTGATTTTTGTACAGATTTATTCTTTTGATAATAAAAATACATTATTTTAAGGATGAAAAAATCTGTTTAAAACATAAAATTCTATAATTTCATAAACTTTTTTAAAATAATTTAAGCGTTGAATATAAAAATACTATTATTTTACAGTGGTTGTTGGCAGTGGTGGATTTCAATATATATATTTTTTTTTGGAGAACTCTTGAAAAATAATTTGTATTTCAAAAGTATTGTATTAAAAATTAAACACTTCTTTTATTTTTACATTGTGCGGTTAATGTTGCATCAATTGTTAAATAGTTTTCATCCCTATATATCGACATCATCGCCAATCGATTTATTTACCATCGCAAAAATCACAACTTAATCGATTATTAGAAATTCAGAAATTTTAGATTATTAATGAATAATAATCAAACATATTATCATCAGAAATATTTAATTCGATGTGATTGATACTAAATATATACGAGTTTCGGCACGTAGGTACTCTTCCGTTTTTCTGTATACAAGAACAGATAGGATAGTTAAAATAGGTACTTGGAAATTTATAAAAATATTAAAAATTGTATTTCTACAATTATTTCAGTTTATTTAAATTGTATAAAATTATATCGGCATTTAGTGGTAGGTCCAGACCTTATGAACCCCCATTAATCCGCCACTGGTTGTTAGATAAGTGAAGCATTTGATTTAGTTTTTAAACTTAAATTTTAAGTTAATATTCTTTAATAGGTAAACAAAGTTAGTGTGATAAATTAACGAATTGAAACGTTATTTTTTCTTAATAGAAATATTTTCTGCACGTGTTTGATATTATATTGACATTTTTTTCTTAACTGAGTGGTATAAAAAATTGGTGTGAAAAAAAATTGGCAACCATGTCGATGACTGTTTCTTATTGGTACGTTCTTTCTTGAGCATATTGTGTAGTTAGTAACTTCCACCTTTGCATGAGTTGACATTACCATAATATTCTTATTCATTATACTATTTTATTAACAGAACATTACTGGGGACATTTTTAATGTCATCTGAACAAGAGAAAAACAAACACTTGGTAACAGGAATATTAATTTCAGTTCCATGGAATGTAAAACAAGCTTGTAAAAACGCGGAAGGTTCTTGGTTGATGCGAAAAATGGGCAAAAACTTGTCCCACCATTTACGTAGTGTAGTCATTAAGTAAGTTATTTCGAGAGTAAGACATTTATTGAGAATATGAGGAATAAAATGTACCCATTAATATGATCTTGAATGTATATCATGCAAATCAATGATTGGAACAAATTCATAATCTATCAATCTATGGTACTTTGATAATAACATAATATGATAATTAATGAAAATTTTTTTAATGAATGTTATTTTAGGAACAAAGATGTTATTTTCAAACAAGATAATGACAGATTGTTAGATTATAACATGATTAAACAGGTATGATACTATAAAATTCAGTAATTATTGATTTAGAATTGTGTCCTTGGAAGTTGATAATGTATAATATTAAGTGTAATCATTAAAACACTGTAATCACTCATTATGATCAATAATGATTTAAATAATAGACTATATAGAACAAGAATAAATCAATACAGTGAAAAATATATACTTAATATTTTATTTTAAATAATATACTACTCTAACTTTAAATTATAATTTTAAATAAAGTTCTATTTATAATTATATATACTGTTCAGTTTACCATATTCTTACTCGTATTAAATATTATATAATATATTCGCGTGTTAAACTATTAATTTTAACATAAAAAATTTAAATTTTATGTTGGCTGATGATTGCAGTGTAACACCATCCGGGAATTCGATACAGCCTACACCATTAAAATATTCAACTACTCTAATGTATATCACTATTACGAGGATGCGACATTGAGCAACAAACTTCATTTGATTAACGTACCGTGTCTGTGTTTAAGTGCCGCAGACGATCCTTTTCTTTACTTTAGAGGTATTACATGTATATATAGTTAATCAAATACAAGGTACTTAATAAAAGTTTGTCCTTGAACGACCAACTCGCTCACCGACCATTTATTATGTAGGTACTTCTCTACCCGCTTTTAAAAACTTAAATTTCCACAACTATTCTTGAATAATCGATTTAAATTATTAATTAAACTAACTATACCTAATTAATTCATTTCGATACTCCACCCAAAAATCATTATGTATTATATTTCATAATAAAAATCAAGGATATCTCTACATAATAGAATGTTTTTTTAGTTTCCGATTTATAAAATAATTTTTTTTTATCTCTCTCCGTCTTCGGATGCTTTCCTCTAATTTTAAGTTTTTGGATCTACAGCTTTTAAATTTCTTCCACTAGTCATCTTGACTTACTTATTGGTTTTTTCCTATTGAATTTTCTTGAAAGTTAAATTACTGTTTTTATCACGGAATTACCTTTCCACCAGATATATCCGATCCCCGTCAATTCTTATATCGTGATTCACTCTCAGATACATCATGTGGTTTTCACCGCGTTGTGGGCAGTTGAAACAGTATTTCAATACGAGCTATATATTCACCTTTTAGTACTTTAGATCTCAGGATTTCTAGCTTAATTATTCTGTTTTTTTTTTCTGGGTTTGGGTCTCAGAACTACAAAATAACATTTATTTAAAATTTGTGATCTTTTTGGTACCTCTGTATCTAGTTTATTATAACTCTGAACTCTGTCTGTATTTATAGTAAAATCGACAATAATATTTCTTTTTAAAATCACATTCTAACGGTGTTTTAATAGGAAAAAGGTAATTTTCGGGTATTTACTACGTATACGTCTTCGGTGAGATCTACGTAACTACATTTATTTACTTTTAAGTTACTTAAGATAGTAACAGGGGTGGCTTATAGATATTTATTTAAATAATGTGAATTTGGTACATATTACTTACTATTTTATATTACAGATATACCCGTAAATGAAGCGGATGAACACGGAAATGTAGCTATCTTAGTAACTTCTGGTGGTGGTCACGTGGGTTACCTGGATACTTTTTGGCCATTCACAAACAATAACTTTATGTTGAAGCTCATCCACCAATATTTCGATGCAATTTTGGTAGATAAGAATTATGAGAAATTTGTTAACCTTTAAATAGTTTGTTTTTCTATTCAATACAATATAATATAATATATTAGTGTTGTATGTAAATTAAAAAACAAAACTGTATACGTACTGATAATAATTGTTGCGGCTAGGATTAGTGTCTTTAAATATTGCTTTTGATTTTAACTATTTTATTATTTGAATTTTGAATCGAAAATGTCACTAAGCTAAGTTTTAAATTAAAAGTATATTATTATTTCGTTATTATTATTAGTAAATGATATATGGATCAAGGGTATTTATAAATACAATAGGTTATTAAAAAAAATTCAAAATTAATAAATATAAGATTTTTATTAGATAATATATTTAAATGAAGGAATACTAAAGTTTTTTTTGTAAAAAATAAATTGCATAGCTAATTGCATTTTGTTAACATTTTAACTTAGTTCGTCTATATTTTATACTTATAATCCCTAGTTTCTGTACTCCTCTCTCTATACGTTCAGAAATGCATATAAGAACCAACGAGAAATCCGTTTTATAAGATTAACATTTAAGTTATTTTTTTTTTAAACACTACTTAGTAATAACAATTTATTTTTATTTAAATTTTTTACTAAATTATAATTAAATCATAATTTAGTTATATTGTTAAACCACTTTTTTTTTTAACTATAATTATTGTTTATATATAAATTATAAATATTTATAAGATATATCATATTATATAGATATATATATATATATATATATATTATGGATGTTTTTTCTTATAAGAACACTCAGCATCTGTTCTATAGCTGGCTAACAATTTGTTTAATTTACGTATTATTTTGAACATTTTTATTTTTGTTTCTTACAATAAAATTGATTGAATATACTAATAAAGGGAGAAATTAACAAATTATATACGTATACAAATTAAGTTTTTAAATTTCAATATTATAGATATTATCTATACAATGTTATTATTATTCATTATTATAATGAGTATAATAATATACTCAATATGTTAGTATATTTAGTATTTTATTATACTTACGTATATTTTTATTTGCTCGAATTTATATGAGAACATTAAGAACAGCTTTTACATCCGATTATACTAGTTTTTAATAATATTTATGTATATTCATCTGAAAATATAATAATAATAACAATTATATATTTTTATTTCGTAATTAATTCCAATTTACGTATCATAATATTATAGGTAGGTACTTAACAATTATTAAAAAAAAAGTTAATAGTTGAAATTACAATATAAATGTTTCTCGTGTGAAAAAATTGTTTGGGTCTTAATCAAAATAATTAAATTGGCTATAACATACCATAGTAAATAATAATTATTCCTGATTTTTAAGAAGTTATGTTTCAGCTTAATTATTTAATTAATAACACCTATAATTTGGTCACAACACTACTGAACAGGTTAAATAAGTTTTAATAAATACTTTCAAAGTTTTGAAAGTTTTGAAAATAAGACAAACACAATATTAATAAAACACAAATGTATTATATAACTATAAGAATTGTTCTTACATTAATCATAATAATTTAGTTTAAAAAAATGACATTGGACATTGATTAGTAATAATTAAATATTTAAATGTATTTTATATTAAAAGATATATATTAAATTATTATATAAATATTATAGTATTTATTATCGATTATTATTGATTGAATACATCAAAATGATGAAAAATGATTTGTGATCAATATATCATCATTCAAAAAAGAGAGGACTGTTATACACGTCATATTCCTAGATATATAAGTATAGTACATCATGTTCATCAACAAACCTGCAAATGACTTCGTTAGTATAGAACTATATTATTCTGAACTCTCCTGACAGTTAAAGTCAATTATTCAAACACTTATATTGATGATTATAGTACTTAAATTAATCAAACATAGATTGATCTGATATTTCGAAATTTCTATATCTTTAAAAAGGTAACTTAAATTTCGCAACTACTTAAAAATATTGAGTAAGACCTTATTATTATAGTTATTAATAGGTATAACTAAGTATTATATTTTGAAATTTATCACGTCATGTTATATAATACATATAAAATATGATTTTATAAATAAGTAGTGAATATTTTTATTTTTCTATGTAAGAATATGAATACATTTAACAGTTATATTTATGTATATTTTGTAATTAAATGTTGTATATGCTGATATACTGTTATTGTGTGCCTACTGCCTATATATTAATTATTATTATTGACTATTAATTAGTTAAGGGTATGTAGGTAAAAATATAATAATCAATTTAATATATCGAATTATTGTAAAGAAAATTTTAATATATAATAATCTAATAATGACTTGAATAATATAAATAAATGTAGAATACTTGGAGGTCATTGTTGTAGTGAGTGTATGTAAAGTAAAAATAGTAAAATACTTATTTTAGTAAAAATATTATTTGTAATTATTGCGAAATATATACATATCTATATTTATAGGTAATAACTATGATTTTTAACTTCTTGAATATTCACAATGTCATCTTCAATATATATTTTTTTATGAATAATTTTCCTTTAGTAATTTAGCATGTTTTAACAGTTTGGTTAAATTAGTTTGAGAGTTTTTTTTGGCAAAAGTTGTTTTTCAGAAATATTTTTTTTAAATTTGTTTAAACATTAAAGAAAATACACTCTTGGACCTTAATTAAAATTTAAAGAAAATCTATTCATATACGAATCCTGAAAATATTTATCAACATTTGTGGCATACAATAATGAATTTATATATTTATTGAATTAAGTCATTATTAGCCTGCAGAAGAATAAGTATCTTAATAATACATTACTACTTTGATAACTATATAATTATTAATTAACATATAAGTAGGTACATTAAAAAATTTGAAAATAAAAATAAAAACATAAAACATTTTAGAAGTATAATAATAACATAGAAACAGTAACTAATTAGTAATTATTAAATAAAATAAAATGTAACCAACCATTCACGCGAAATTAGGGTTTTAAGATTTCATGAAATTTATTTTCTTAAAATATTTCATTTCAATAAAATATAAAGAAAAAAATTATTAAATCTAAAAGTTAATAGTCTCGTCAATTTATAAGTAAAAAATTTTAAAATTTATTTTATTGTATGAAAAAAAGAAAATATATTTAACATATTTACATAATTACGTATAATGTAGAAGTTATTTTACAAACCTATAATATAACGAATCTATACATAACATTCCCAAGTTTCAAACTCTTCAACCAAATCTACATAATAATTTACATTTAATATACATATTAAATTTATATTTTAATTTACAAATTATAACCGTTAGCATATTATAGTAATTCATAAACCTTGGTTGATATCTGATTAATTATTTATCATTAATATTTTCTGTATATAATCATTAATCAGCAATATATTATTTCTAATAAATTATAATTGAACACGTTTAAAAAAAGAAAAAAATATTTTTTCAATATTTCAAGAAGAGCGAAATTTTCAAATTCAGAATTCTACGTGTAATAGATAATTAGATAGACATTGAACATAATATTATGTTTAGTGACTATAATACAATGATTTAAATCAACCAACATATTTTAAAATTACATCATATAAAGACCACATTATTTAGCCTAAAATATGTTATTTTTCGAAACATGTTAAGTATATTATAAATAGTAATTATCAATCTAAATTATTATTCTATGTGTTGAATTTATTTAATTTTACAGATTTGGAACAACGTACTGATAAAATTATTGTTTCGCACTATAGCTAGTAGGTAGGTACCTATAATCCGGGATTATAATTGCTCCGCAATTTTCTCTTTCGCTCCGGATTAAATTATAATTTTGAATTGCCAATTTTATTATTCGAGATCTAATACTGTGGCTTCTAATTAAAATTTAGATCTTAATTGTATTTACTCATAGTACAAATATAGGTTTAAAAATAAAAGGCAGCAAACTTATGACTAAGAAAATTTCACATTTAGCCACCTGAAAATCAACAATTTATCTGATTATTATCATATTCGAATAAACATAATAAATATAAAGATATGTTTAATAAATAATTAGAACAAATCAAAATTGATTTAACAAATATTTGAAAACATTAATGTTTATTTCCATTTATACATGAGTATAAGGTAATTGGCTACTAAAATATAGTGTACTTAGCATTCGCTTCTTTTAAAATTATATTCAGATTTACATAAATAGAAATAATTATACAAATTAAAAACATATTCCATGTTTTATAAAGTTAACAGAAACTTGTTTTTGAAAGTGTTTTTATATTTATATTATAAAAAGTGTTTTTATATAATAGTTAAGGCTTTATTGTATATAATTTTACTACCTAGGTATTTATCTACAGAAAAAACAACTCTAAAGAGTCGTTAAAAGTCGAAAAAATGTGCAATCTAGAAAAAAATCAAAACACTAAAAAATTCAAAAATAATATGTGGTATACATAATTACACCTATAGGATTTTATTCGTGGTATTGTCCTTTTACACCAGTTTTTTCATGTAGATAATAATACAGTGGAACCTTTATTTAACAAAACTCTCTTTACAACGAAATATTTTATGGTAAAATTTATATTTAACGAATACATTTTGTATTATATCTTTACAGGAAATTGAAAAACTACATATTTATAAAGTACACACTCGCGGTCAATCAGACTATTTAAATAAGTGCGACCATTTTTATAGTCAGAATGGTACAAATGTTATTCAACAAAATACCAGATAGTCCTTTGACAACAAAGAATAAAAACATTTTATAATCTACATAGGTATACCTATTAATTGCTTATTTTATTTGTTCACAAACTATATAGAACCTTTACACAACGAATTTTAAGATTTTTTTTGACAAAAATTATAATAATTTTTTCACTTCAAAATCTCATTTTTAGTGTACACAATGTATGTAAATAATTATAATATAATATATATGTGTAATATCAATAAATAAATAAATTAAAATTGAAATTAAATATTTTTAAATTCTTTTTGTTGTCAAAGAACTTTTTGATATCATGTTGAACAACTTTTGTACCATTTCGACTACAAAAATGATCATATTTATTTAAATAAATCTAACTGACGAATTTGTTCTTTATAAATATGTAAGAATTATATAATAGTTTTTAAATTTTTAGTAAAATAACAGGAACAAAATCATTTTTGAAATAGAAACCTTTTCGGATAAAAATCTAATGGTTCCATAAAATTTATCATTATATAGGGAGTTTCATTAAATAGAAGTCTACGACGTATCGAACACCCCGTTACACAATATACTTGTTTTAATAACATATGTAACAGCATAACACATTTGGATATTGCAGTTTGAGTCGCATTTATATTAAGTTGGGTTTTAAATAAAATATTGTTTGTTTTTCAAAGAGAGTTCAATAAAACTCAATACCTATAAATATAATATTACGCACTACATTCACGTTGTCATTGCGGTTTGTAGGAGACTATATTTGTACGGCTTAATGGTTCAACCGCATAGTTTTTTCGTGGCAACGTGTCGAGTTTGAATTTTGCATGAGACCGATCTGATAAGATTCCCGATGCGGGATAGTTGTATATTATTATATTTGAATAGATTCAAGTCACGCGATATTAAATTTAAACGCAATAGTTAAAAAAAAAAAAAAAATGATTCCATTCGAATAACGCGGACGCCGGACAAATTCACGTCAAATATCCGTCATTTTTGATTGACTGTTGTCCGGTTAAATCATTTAACGTAAGCATTCATCGAATATATTCAATCACATGTAGTACATATTAAGTCCACTCTCGCCCGTGGTAGGTATGTCTATAAAATAAAACTAGTGTATATAAAAATGTATGATATAATAATATGTAAGTTTTTTTGCAGACGGATATTTTGTATAATTATCCGACAATTAATACAACGAAAAGACGCACACGGACACGTAGACAGCTCTCGACAAATGACGGCAACTGTTTGAACGCTTTTATTATATTATTGCCTCATTAATAGCTGGGCGCTGAATAACTGTATGAGTAGTCGTCTCACGCCGTGCTATAACATTGCAATATAAGAGGTATATATACACATATTATTATCATGTACGGTTTGTGAAACAGGCTTAATTGTATAATACACACACACACACATTTTTGTTGTTGTGCGAATAGGATAGGATACATATAATATGCAGGTAACTACCTATACATGATATTATTATAGATATATTTATTTGTGTACTGCGTATGTTATTATAATGATTACCGCGCATTACCAATCCATCGATCATTTAATGCGATACATCGTTAATTAAACTTACAGTCGCGTCAAATCAATACCTACATATGTGTGTGTGTATACGTTTTTAATTATCTATCATCAATCATAACATAAGTGACATATTATAGTATGTTGTGTAGTACGTATTACTGTATTAGTCATATCACACATTTGAACATCTATATTGACTGTATATATTGACACAAGGCAATCTGTGTGTCTGTGAACGGTTCACAGTCAAGTCTATGTATTGCATTGCGCACTCGTAGCTCTAAAATTTGGTACACAGGTAATCCTACACTCCTACTCACTTAGGGATGCGCACTTTAATTTCAACTCCTTAATCTAGGCATTTCAAAAAGAGGCTTCTACGAGAATTTTGTGGCTCTCGAAAAACGAATATCTTCTTGTTTGTGTGATGTGTTAGTCTGCAATGGTTTCAGAAAATAAAATTGTCATTAAAATTGCATTTTATAATTATTTTAGATTCGTATTTTATAATTAGCCAAAACCGCGCAAATTAGTGTACTAAAAATATGTGTACCTATCTAGTTGACATTTAACAGAGTTTAAGACACTCGCGGTAAGTCCGCCGGCATTATCCAAACACAATAAAAATAAAAATTGGTTATAACTTATAAGACTTCAATTTTTCTCAATGGTACCAACAGGAATCGAAATCGAATCAAATAAATAATATTATAATTACCCATGTACAATTATAATATAGTCATCTCCGTTTGATGACTTATCGAAGACCAGAGATTTTACTCGTACCTATTGACTTTATCCCAAGGCTTTCGGTGATACGTAGCAAACCGCGGGTTTCCGAGCTTTAGTATACGTACCTATTTAAGTATTTTGTCATCTGACAGAGAGGAGGATTTGACGGCCGTGTATTCGTCGGTACCCATAGCGTCCTCCGAACGTAGGTACATTACGCATTATGACCATACTAGTCTGGCGTATTATGGGAGTTGCTGTAAGATTGTAGATACAGAGACGACCTCCGACGGTTTGGTCTCCTATAAAGCGCAGACACTCAAGACATAACTACTCCCATAGGTAAGTATTACAACGCACCTATACGTCTCACTCGTTAATAGAACCGTTTTAAACGGTACCTAAATTCATTTAGCGAAACATGGTTTGTTTTTTTAAATGATGTTCAAGTCTTAATGTATAAAACATTTCATGCGTTCACTACTTCACTGTTTATAATATTGAACATGCAACATGCGTATATAGGCACTCATGTATGGTGTATAGGTACACATTACACAGTCATAATATTCATCACGTTCGAGTGATCCGCCGTTAGCGAAATCTTTGCACAAAATAAACCGGTCGCTGTCGTATTGATGTGCCCGTACATCGAACGCTCGGATGTGCGGCTGTGCGGGTGATCAGCATACACAACATTAACATTGTAATAAATCAATAATATTAATTATTTAATTGATAATTATTACCGAGAAAGAGATTCGTACCACGAGCGTGTGCGGGACGCATCGCGACGTAGATCGGGTGTGAAATATGATGAATGCATTTGGCGTGATAAATAATGCGTGGATGACCGAACGCGAGCGCCATGACGAGTGTAAAAAATAATGGATCGACCAAACTCGGTCTAGTAAAACGTACATTTCGTATCCTCGTCTTAAACCACGTTTAAAGATTAAATTTGTATAACCCGTAAACGGAATTAACGACGTCTTGATTAATTTTTATTTTTTTTATGTTTTCAATAAACATTTTTTTTTTTTTTTTTGTTAAACGCCGCTCATATACCGATAAATGATAGATGATATCACTGCGAATATAATACGTATTAATAGGTAAGATTAATTTTATTTTTAAACGACCATAGAAAAGTCTTACGGTAGGCGTAAGATGCGAATTACTCGAATTAGAAATAAGAATGACAGTAGCACGGTTTTGGATTATAATTAATAATCTACACGTTATTGCGCATACGATTGTACGGCGACCGACCAAGTTACGCGCTAGAGGCGAGGCGATAGAGCACGTCTGTTGTCGTGTCCATGGTCTAACACTGTATAAAACGTATACAATTAACCTACCTGTAATATTTTATGGATATCTACAAATCATTAAAACAAATTATATTGTACACGGTTTTTATTAAAACTTATTACACGCGTATTAACGCGGCTTGAGTAATTTCGCCAAGCAACAAAAAATTACGAGCCAATAGGGAGCTGAAGTTTATTAAATATTTGCAGTTGTCGATGAATATTTACACACGTGCGACACGACACGCGTAAAAGAGAAGTCACCCAAAAGGACTAGGCCATAAGTGGGCTACATTTGAAGTGCGCCTATATCTTCTATTTAAACGCAATAATAATATAATGTTGAATGAGACGAAAATTCGATTTTTAAGCTCTCAGGCCGACCATAATATAATATTTCACTAAAACCTGTGATCTTCGTTTGGTTTTTCTAAACATTATGGAAAATAATATGCTCCACACAATTTGTTGAACCGTTTTTATACTTAACACAAAAATCCATACGCTTGCGATAACTGATGCGAGATAAATCGTTCAAACGGCATTTACATATCAATCGTATCTAAAGTATTTAGTTGTAAATCATTCATTACACACATTTTATTAAACACATACGTATAAATATTTTCCGCTACGAAGACTGCTCACTTGTATATTCCCGTTGGTCGATTATTTACGGTTTAACAATAATCATAACATTGATTTAAAATTCAAACGATGCTTATAATACATATGGGGATATAGGGATAGTCAGATACCGTCACCATAATACATTATTTACACACGCATTTATTATAAATCATTTTTGATGGTATGTGTTTTGCTAGAAAAATATTTAATTTCAAAGTATCTTGTATTTATTATACAAACAATTATTTACAAAATTACAAATAGTAATAATAGTAGTTATAACTATTTTTAATAGTTATAACAAGCAAGAAGTATAACAATATTATATAAATATACAAAACCATAAATATCTTAAAATACAAATATAATTATTGTTGGAAATTCGGTCATCATTACATAACAACGAACATTAAAAAAAAAAAAAAAAAAAAAATAGTAGGTAATCAAGTTTTTTTAACAAATATTATCAAAAGTTTTATAGTATAATTATGTTAGAGGAAAAACAACTGGTACCTATAATTTAATCATCTGTGTGTGGGTCCAAGCCAGTGTCGATGAAATCTTTAACGTTCTGAATGAATTTTCCGGGCAACAGTCTATAAAATCATGGATACATTAGTATAATCAGATACAGGAGTCGGGAGTATAATCCTCATGTAGTCGTATAAATAACTTATTTTAAATCAATTATTTAGAACTAAATAATCGAAAATTGTACTAAATTTTTATTTTTATTATTTATTGAGCGAACATTATAAAATATTAAATAATTTATCGTGTTAATTAAAAATCTAAAATTGCCAATTCATATCACTACACAGTTGATGAATTTAAAAGTGGATACATTTATTATTGAGGATCAGAACAAGCATAATGAGGCATATAAACAATGTATCAGTTACAGATAATTTGTAGATTTCACATTAAAACTGTGTATCTCCACCAACGTTCATTAATTTTAAGTAGAAAGGGTTTAGATGTTAAGTCTGTTATCCTATACCTTACTTGAATACTTTGTAATAAAATAAGCATTCGCAAACCGCTCTGTATAATAATATATACCTGGATATCCGGTCGAGAGGCATCAGCATCCACGGTATACTGACTTCTTTGTAGTTACGCCTCATCGATTTTACAATTATATTGGCTACTTTTTCAGGCGATTGCATATCCAACAAGAATGGGAATCGATTTCTAGGTTTCTTAACTAGTCCTGTATTAACCATAATTGGGTAAACTGTAGTGAATTTGATTTCAGATTTATTGTTTTTCGTATCTCCAACTCTTAACTCTTCGTATAAGGCTTCCATGAGTCCTACAAAACCAGATATGTTATTATATTTAATGAGTCGTTGACAGTATTGAAAATAATAACTACATATAAAAATTGTATTTAATAAATATCATATGTAGATATATTAGAAATTTGATAAAATAATTTTAAAATGTATACCTATACTATAACTATAGACGTTTTAAAAGTACACAGTTGCGTATTAAATAATATTGCTATTTACAGAATGAATGATGTGTAAATAATATATTATAATAGTAAATACTTTCAAATAGTTTCTAGATGAAAATTATTTTATAACCTTATTTTATGAAGTAAAATATGTAAATAAATATTATACAATTTCTATTTAAGGATAACAAAACAACATTATATTCTAAGAACTATTACTTATTATTACGTGTTGCTAATAAATTAATATGTTGTAGGAATATTATATAGTTATCAACAACCTGCTGTTTGAAAATACAATAAAGAGTTTTTTACTTTTATTGCTGTCGTGCAAACATATTATTTACTGAGACATACTAAATTATAATATGTATATAATATACAATCTACCAAAATGGTAGGCAGTAGGTACGTCGTATTTATTATTTTATTTTGTTTCGTGAAACAAAACGTTATTTATTTAAAAAATCATTTAACTAATGTTCAACACGTAAATAGTTTCATAGGAGCAGTATTTTATATTTTCTGATGATGTAAATGTAATCAATATTTAATAATAAATATAATATTTTTCACACACAAATATTAAACCATAAAATGTGCACACAACGAATCGCAATAAAAAGTATACATATATTTTCACTATAAATTTATAGAACTTGTAAAATTAAAATTGAAACCAATAATAAATATCTTCATAAAATATACGTTTCAATGACTTCATAAAAACTTATAAAAAATGTAAAATATATATTATAATAAAATATCAGATGTGTATAATATACGATATTTCATTGCATAACAAAAGCATCTCATTGGATTACTCTCATTTTTTATGACCTTGGTTCTTGACTACCTTGAATACCACTGAAAACTCAAACGATTTGAAATTTATTAATAAAAAAGAGAGAGTTCATAATGTACACATTACATTTATTATATTTGTGTATAACGTTAGACGATGTTAAGTAACTGAATTTTTTAAATTATATTCGAATTGATAAATCAACTATATTACCTCTAACGGCGAATTTCGAAGCGCAATATGGAACAACATTTGGGAGTCCGATGACCCCGCACATTGATGATAAAGCGATTACGTGGCCATGGTTATTTTCAATCATGCTTGGTAAAAAAGCTTCCAGAGCCTGACAACAATTTTAAGTTTATACGTAGAATACAATTTTTTTAGCATTGAATTTACCCAAAAATGAGCTAAAACGTTGACGTTGAATATTTTTTCAATTGTCTCATGGCTTTGAGAAAATAATGGTCTACATGGCATGATTCCGGCATTGTTTACCAACACCGAGACGCTACCAACTTCCTGTTTAACTAAGGCTGCAGCATCCAAAACTTCTTGTCTATTAGATACGTCTACTCTGCAAAAACATTATTAATAGTAAATTCGAATATCAATACTTCTATAAAAGCAACAATTAGAACTAATTAGCAATCATTTTTTACAATTAAATTTGTAAATTTCATGTACAGCAAAAATTTTAATGCTTAAACTTTGTAAATTACCGTATATATATTTATAAAATATTATAGGTACCTCTTGAAATCAATAAATAAATTGAACATAATATTATAGTATTTAACGTTATATTTAAGGTAGATAGGTACCTACATTAATAGTAATTTAAATATTATAATATATTTAAAGTTACATATGTTTAGTAGATACCTATTAAATATATAAGATAAACAGTTAAATTGCTTATGTAACATACATTTCAATATATAGACAATATATAAGGTAAGTGCGTGGCTTAAGATATACTTTAAAGATATTGCAACATATTATCTAACTAAAAAATGATAGTAAAGGTAGTTACAACAAAAACGTGCAAAACTTTAAAAGTATTTGTCTTAGTTTCTAAAACTATAAAATTATCTAGAAATTTTAAATTTTAAATAAAATAGTGTATGACGAATTACTACTGAAAATATTTTACCGCTTAATTGATATCATCAAAAAACGTAACAAAATAAGACATATACTTTTTTATCTGGTTATTTTCATTATAATTAAAAACCTTAAATATACTAAAAATTAAATATGTTGTTAGTCTGTGACGTTATTAAGTATTTGTTTCACACACAAATATGTAATGTTCCATTACATATATTTCATACCATCAATTTAAGTAATGTGATTGATGGAGATTATTCACGCGAGGGTATAATTTTTTCTTCATTAGTTATTATTTAAGTCCAAGTACAATATATATTAATTGTTTGTGTCAAATATAATTGGTAAATATAAGGTGTACGGTGTACCTATAGGCTGCACAAATCCTTACAAAATAGATAATGTATACTAGTTAAATTTCCTTTTAAATTAAATAATTGATGGTCTGAAATAATAAACAGAATTTACAAGCATCATTATCTGTAGGTATTTTGCCATTATATTGTATAGAACCAGTTATAATAGATAGTTAAGTTTATGTCACAGATACTAATACTTTCACTTTGTAGTTTTGTTTGTGTATTAGATATCTGCTGGAGGGTGATATCTGGAGTTATACAATATAATAATATAAGTGACTTTAAATGATCGTGGTGGTGCGAGATTTAATGGTTGTAATGTATTGGTTAGAGGCAAACATGACTATTTTGTATCCTAATTTTGCTCTAAAGAAATAAAGTAGGAGTTGGATTTTGTTTACGAAAATTTCAGTTAAGGATATTTTGAGATTTATACATTTTGCGTTCACAACCATATACAGCATTTAAATAACATCATAATTTAATTTGTAATTTGTATTACTGAAACTTAATTAAAATGTAATACTATTACTAATAATTATTTAATGATATATTTTAAAAAGTATTAAACTAAATAATTTGATAACTTAAGACTGTATAAGTGGACTATTTCTATAGTTTTATTACAAAATTGAATTTTAGTTTAATTACTTTTGTTATAATTTATGGTTAAAAACAAATTTAAATATTAAGAAATTAAACTATACAATCGAAATAAAATAATACAATTGTATGAGAGTTTAAAAATGCTTGAAACAATTCAATATATACAATTCGAATGGCCTAAACCCAATTTCTATTGAATTTTCAATTTATTTAACTATTTTAAGTAGGTATTTAAGTTAATTTTAGAAAAACGATCCCAAATATTAAACACTAAATATTAAATTGAATACACTATAAGTCTATAACCCTCAAAATATTTATTTGTTAATCTATTTGACTAATTTTTTAGTTTATCGATTTTGATATTGATACACGATTAGTGTTAATTTTTATGTTCATTGTTCATAGGATACGGAGCTACAATATTTAAACTATTAGTTATTGATAAAAATTTTAATTAAAAATAAAGAATAATTTTTTATAGCATACAATTTTGATCGTACATAACACATGCTACTTAAAAATCCTCAGTGTGTTTCTAAGCTAAGAAGATTCTTTTAATTCAAATAGTTAATTTATAATACTCTACGACACAGATTTGCTTCCTGTGTTAAATGTTATTAAAAAAAATAATAATTAATAAGGCTCGAATTTTGTAGCAAATGCTTCTTTTAAGGTGAGTATGATAGAAAGATAATTCTTATAAATAAATACGTTTTGAATCGTTCCAATTTTAATGAAGTAAACTTTTTTTTGCTTTTTTCGACAAAACCTGCTTTTTATTGCTTTTCCCCTATTTGGTTCTTTTTCTTGATTTTTACATGTTTTTCTTGAAAATTTAACTTATTTATATATATATATATTAAACTTGGACTATATTTTTATAACCAAAAATTATAAAACCAGTGAAAAAACCAGTAAATAATGTATAATTGACAAAATAACTATGGTTATTGTGCCGAAATAATTTTATCTACAATTATCTATAGTTGTATTTACATGAATTCAAATGAATTAGTTCATATGAAATATGCACCGATTACATCGGTTGACGTGGAAAGGTCTTTTTCTATGTATAAAAATATATTAACACCCAATAGAATGAGTTTTAATGAAAGTAACTTGACTATATAATATATGGTCTTGAATTCCATTTTTAATATTTAATTTTATGTGTAATTGAAATTTATTATTTTAGAATTAAATTTAATAAATGCTTTTTTTTGCATTTTTGGAATTATTTTTCTACAAAATCCGAGTCCTAATAATTAATAAATACGGTTGTTTAGTGATGTTTCAGTCAAATCACGTATTGAGCAATTGTAATATGGAGATTGAATATGTGCATCAAGACCTAAGTCAATGTCATTCGTGATTTTTGATTAGGTCAACGTCATTTGTTATTATACTATTTACGATTAAATATAAATAAAAGAACTATACATTTCTTATAATAATATACAATTTATAAGCTCCTACACCTTGATTTATGTGGTTATTATGCAATAATATTATTTGTATTTATTGTATATAATTAGGGCTTACAGTAAACAAAGACAATTCTACATACTGTGAATATTTAATATAATACTTTAAAAAATCAGCATCAGTCAAGATAAATTTATTTGATACCCATTATTATTAAATTCATTAACACTTCTCTTACGTCATAAATTACGAAATTAAAAAAAAATATATGACTTTAATTACAGGACTTTATTATATATTATAATGTACCATTATTATTTTCTTAGCAATAAAAATATAAATATAGATATATGTATATAAAAAAAAAATACGATAAATTAACCATTATTATTTATAGACTTATTTTCATCGAGGAATAAATTTAAAAAAAATATTTTAATTATTTTGAAAATTTCTGAAAATATTTAATTTTTGACTCTTTTAAAATACAAAAATATAAACTAATCCAATTTGCTTACTTATCGTGTATACAAAAAATAAATTATTTTATAACTACTAAATGTAAAGACCCATTCAGAATCTAATGTATAGTGTTTTTAACTTTTAACATGAAGTGAAAAGTACCATGAAAATGACTCAATAATTAAAATAAATTAAATTAATTGTATATAGACTATTTTTAAACGATTTATAATTATTCAATTTATAATTATTTAGTTTAAGTTAATTGTAAAATTTTAAATGATTTATTCGTTTTAATTATTTACTTTAGTAAATACAACTTAAAAACAGAGAATTAATCTAATAGTAACAAAAATTGAATAATTAAAACTAATTATGTACTTCCTGTAAAAAACAGTGAATCATATAATTATATGAATTGTATAAAAATGTTAGTACAAAAATATCTTATTTTGAAACAACTTTATAATATATGTATTTTTTTATTTATTTATACCTATACAATATACTGTATATATGTACATAAACCTATAATTTAGTTAAAATATTTTATGTTCTTAATTTTTTCTTATACCTATACAATATAATAAAGTGCACCATGATGTAAATTTAAAATTAAATGAAAAATATATATATTTGAATAATAATTTGTGTATTAGTTTTCAACGCAAATTTTATTATTAGATTTTTATTTTCTTAAAAAAAATAAATATACTGTTTAAAATTGAAATATAATAATTGCACTTTAATTATACTTGTTACATTTTTATATCGTTATCATTAAACATTTAGGTACGTGATTATTGCGAGGCTGAGTGAATGAATAGCAACTAGTCAAAGAAAAATTCTATTTCAAATATCTAAATCCAAAATTTTGTTTTACATCATTTTTTATATTTTGAGATTTTTGCTTATTAAAGCATAATTGTGCATAACTTCGGTTTTTAAAGCGTTTTATTTAACTATTCTACAAACATAAAAAATTGTTAATAAAAAAAATGTATATAAGTATTTTATCAACATTTTAACGTGTAAGCTTAGCTCTTTTTTATTTATTTATGAATTTATCCTTACTAAATTATCTGATAATATCAATTTGGAAACAATGTATCATATTTTGTAATTATGCAAAAGAAGAAAAATTAATTAGATAAATAATCATTAAATAAAAATTTCAATAATTTAATTGAAATTATTATTTGTTTAAAAGTATATTTCGTATTTTTTAGTGCTTTCTTGTGCGTATTTTAAAGATTTAATTCCCTCGGTCTAACTCATTATCAAACCCGGATTAATGAGAAGCAGAGAGGCACGGTCCCGGAGTCTACTGATTTAGGAGGCCCATCTTTATCTCCAATATAAATATATATATTTTTAATGCGTTAAAAAAAGTTATAAAAAAAATTATTTTAGTGGGTACAGTAAATAATTTATAATTATAAAATATAAATGTTCTTAATTTTATATTACGAAAAATTACTAAATGATAATAAATATTAAATTGTTATTCTAATAATTGATATTACGTATTCTTGATCTATTCGCATGAGGTGCCCATATATAATAAAAATAATTGTTCGGCCGAAAAAGTATTTTCCAAATTAACAAGAATAAAAAGTAAGTATATAGAACAAGCCAGTCTAAGAAAAATTTAACATCATTAATGATATTATATTCAGAAAATTATATCTTGCAATTGATCGATTTCAATGAAACTATTCAACAATTTGCAAAATAAAACCAAGGAAAATCTTTAAATTATTATTCTTTTAAACAAATTATGTTTATATGTATATAATAAATTATCATATAACTATTAATTTATATAGCCTTATATTATATTTTTTGTCCTGAAACAAAATGTGTTTACTATCATTGTATTTTATAACTTTATTAATTTATAAATCATAATTAATATAATATTGGTAATTGATATATTATCATGAATATGATTTTACTGAAGTATTTTAATAATGAGACGTATATGAAATGTGTGCTTGTTTTTTGCTATGGTAGATAACAGCGCCAACATCGACGTTAATCTCGGATATTTTTAAACGCAATGAATTTGATAATACCTTTTCAATACTTTTATAATTAATGCTTTAACTGATTTAAAAATTATAAATTTCTTAAAATCTATATAATTCAAAAATCTTCTCGCGACCCACCAAGAATTGGCTCACGATCCATCAGTGGGTCGCGATCTAAGTTTGAGAAACGCTGTTATAGGGCACAATATTATGTTAGCCGCGGGTGCCATAATTTGTAAATCCGGTACCGCACTCCAAGAATATTTATAAAAACATAATATAATAATGCTTAATACTACGGTTATTAATTATAAAAACTAAATATATGGTTTTATATTGGTGGGTGAATGTATAAAAATATTCTTACTTATAAGTGTAAACACGTTTGTAACCTTTAAGCTTAAGAATTTGTTTTGTTTCATTATTTCCTTTTTCGTCTAAATCCCAGCATACAATAATTGCATTTTGTATGGCAAACAATAATGCCAATTCTCGACCAATACCGTGACCCGCTCCAGTTATCTAAAAAAAAAGTTATAAGACGAGATTAAAATTTTATTGTTGATATTGGAAAAAAAATAACCATTACGTATTTTAATTAATTGTTATTAATTGCATATGTATTTATGTAGCACAAAAATAAATAATAACATATTAACATTAATAAGGCTTTATTAAATGTATTTAAATGAATATTTAAGTTTTCGACACATGTCAATATCAAACTGGTTTTTGAAATCATAATAAATTAAGAGTGTTGTATATGTAGTTTATGCCGTGATAAAAAATGGTAAATAGGTACGTAACAAGCTACCTTATAACAATATTATTATTATAATTTAACATGCGTGTGGAATAAACAGTGGTTTCGTAATGTTTTTCAATAAATCTTTTTCGCGAGAAAGGATTGCTTATATGACTGTATAATAATTTATGTGTAGGTTTGTGAAATATTATAAGACGTCTTCAACAAATGCAAGTCTTGTGAAACATTGAAACTATCTCTAAAAAACACTAAGGATGTATATGATACGAGTATATTTTATAGTTCAACTCCATAATCATTTCGCCATTATATTATTTTATATTTTTACAATTAAACACAATACCAATAAGGATACCCATGAACTATCTACACCAACTATGTATCAAATTTAAAATCAGTTATAACATTAATTAGAGTATATATTCTTATATATTATATACATAACACCATATAATAGACTATATACTAAATAACTTACTAAAACAATTTCATCTTTAAGTGATTTTTCTAATGGTGGTAAAAATGTACGTATAATGGACTCAACAGTAGTATAAATGAATTTTAAAACCAATAGAATTAACTCTACGAGTAATAAGCCAGCATAAGCCACTGAATTCCCCATAGAATTCGACCTAAAAATAAGCAATCAGTATATAATTTTCGTTTCATAATATTTATTTGTAGGATACTAGATTCATTTTTACTTACCTATACCTCTTAAGAGGTGGATGAGTTGACTCTTTTTTATTTTCTGTCATCATGATTACTGATAGCCTTGTATTGATGACTGTTTAAATTAATATTTTTACTTCATTCGAATAGTATTAATGCTCACCTAAAATATATATATATAAATACGTAATATTACTTGTTGTATAATTATAACAAAATATTTGTGCAGAATATAAACATTATATGTTTAAACTTAAATATACTAAAGTTTCTTTATGCGTAATAGGTACCTATATATTTTTTTAGTAATGCATTTAATTTAAGTATTTAATACAATAATAATAGGTATATCCTAACTTTTTAATCAATTTTGTGTTTAAGAATTAAGATAAAATATTTTTATATAGATGAAATTTTTTAATTATATACTATATTTAAATAAAACTATAATATTGCAAGAATAATCATATTTCAGCATGAGAAGCTCATAAAGTTATAATTTACGATAAGTTGAATTATAAATCACAATTATGTCGGATTACTACCCTATCACTTTACAACTATTTATCTAAGTTTCCAAAACTTAAAAACTAAAATGCATATAAATAAAACCATTGATTAAACATAAGATGTTTATAGCTCAAAAAATTCACACTATTCAACGTATGAAATCAAAAATATAGAGAAATGCAAAAACTTTCTAAAAAATCATTATAATATAAAATTATAAGTAGGTAATTATATTCATTTGCACAAATAACATATGTTAATGCCGACTCAATATTATATTTATATTTTTTTTTTAACACATTAACTGAGATAATCGATAATTATGGATGGTTATACGTTGAATTACTTATTTTTATATTTTTTACATAAATCAGAAATTGATATTCTTAATAATTATTACTTTTAATAACTGCATCAATTTTTAGTATAACCATATTGATGATTAAATAGTAACGATTAATAATTATAATACATTAAGTCGTAAAATAATCATCTCGTAAGTAATTATTAATTATTATTGCACAATTTAAGTGAATATTTTCTAAAATAACTAATGAAAGTGGAATTATATTTCCTGTAATAATTTTATTCTAGAGTTTGAATTTCTTGTACTATCACTTATCGAGATGCACATACCTATTCATATATAATTATATAGATGGTGATATGTTTCACGTAAGATAAATCAACATTTATAATATTTTTTTAAAACTTATTTTCGTAGTTATCTCTTTGCGATTGAATACATGTTAATATTTATCAAAGTTAGAAATGATAAAATTAATTATGAATTACGAATAAATTACTCTGCAGTAGATAACAAAAATAATAATAGGACATTCATTTATTTTTTTTAATTATTCTTCATCTAATAAATAACATTTAAATATTTTAAAATGGTAAGATTTAAATAATTATAACAAATCATATAGATTTTACTATAACCTACAGTATACAAGATTTGCACATAATGCTGTAAAAATATATTTATTATAAAATTACTTAAAAAACCAGAATACCTGAGTATCTATCCTTTACTTAAGACTTTAAATGATGCAAGGAATACATCAGTTTTTAAATACATTCTTATATGCTTATGTGACTACTTTTCGGAAATATAAAAGGTTGTTTACTATCCTGTTGTTAACATAGCCCATATATGGTGACTAGTGATGAATACAATTTTATTATGCGACTAAATTGTTATTTACGATATTTTATTTTTATACAATTTATAGTTTATTTTAATATTAAATTTAATAATTTAGATAAAATTTCGAAAGAGGATAGGTTTGAGTTACCAAATATCAACTATTTTATTCGATTAATGTTAAATCATAGATTATTTTTACATGGAGTTTTATAATAATATTATAATTAGTGTCCTATATTAAACTTATCTTGGAATAGTCTTGTTTAATAAGATGATTTAACATTTTAATTTAATTTACATTTATAATATTATTATTTCATATTTGTTAATATACATCTATCCTGAGTAGAAAATGATAGAATGAGAAGAGTACCAAATACCTGGATCTATGAATCTATATCCTGTTTGAATTTATTACTTATTATCAATTAGATAATATATTGTATCTGCTTAACCGTACGTATTAGTATTATTGCAATAAATTTACTCATAATAATATCCATACCTAAACGGTTAATTGTAAAATAAAAAATTTAATTAACATTGTTAGTAAGTGAATTAAAAAAAGTCAAGATTTTATTTGATTACTAAAGATGTTTAAAGTAAAATATTTCTAAGAGAAATTTAATGTATAGGTAATCTTTACAGATAATTCACTACGTAAGCAATACATCCGATGTTCATAATGTGAATAAAATCGTGACAATATTGAAAGTTTATTACGTAATACAAAATACCATTTAAATTTTTTTCATTTTTTCATACATGACTGTAGTATAAACATATAGATAAATTATAAGTAAATAATATTGTTAAGTTTTTATAAATTTAACATACATAACCATTTTCAATTTTTCGTTATATTCGAACCTATATAATTTTATGTGATAATAACTTTAACACGATATAATTTCAAGAATATTTTTATGAACCTAGTTAAACATAAATTGAAGTAAATGATTATTATCACAATGCTTTTTAAACTAATTCCAGTGCTTGTTAAATGTTAAAATATTCTTAGATGACCTATACTGGTATTACATATGATACCTACCATATGTACAATATAAAATACAAAATTATAGGTATAATAACCTGTAACATAATAACTGATTTTAATATGTTAATAATAATTGCATTGTTAAAATTTAAAAAAAAGTGTATGGACTGGAAAAAAATGAGAGTATGTATCAAATCAGAAAAAGTAGAACAGTAAAGTAGAACGCAAAATAAACGAAACATTATAAATTCCTATAAAGACGTTTGAATATTTAAATATACCTAATAGAAAATTAAAAATGACTAATTTCATTACTTGAAACTTAATTTTTTTTATCTATATGTATTTTTATTTTATTTTTCCGTAGTATTATATGCAATAATATAATACAACTTGTTATAGACGAAAACATTTTATTTAGTATAAAAATTATTTGTTTCAAACTTCATGAAAGTAATAATAATAATATATTAAATGTGTAAAGTTATATATCAAATAATTTGGAGATCGTATAAATTATTATCCAATGATATAAAATAAAAACTAATAATTACAATTTATATACGTTATTATAACATAACTAACATTACATTCAATATCAATTAATATCAAAAATTGTATTATATAATAATATAGTAATAAATATAAATTTAACAAAGCTTAGTTTTATCAATAGATATCCAAGAGACAGAATTTGCATCTACAGAACTAACCTGATTTGATAATATGTTTTTTAAATTGAAATAAAAAAACTGTTCGAATTTATTTGATAGTTTCAAAGTTTAACCGAGACTACAAAAAAAACCAGACTTGCAATTCTGTACATAGTTTAAATATTAATGATAATTCATATTACGATTTAATTAATATTAAATATCATAATATATTTATTTATGATTAAATATAAATACCATAAACCATATAATTATTATTTTTTTTCTTACATAATTAAAATTTAAAACTTTATTTTCCTTTATTCTTTAATTAAACGCAATAGATACATTTCATACAATATTTAAAATTGATATTAAACTTAAGATACTTTAATTAATTCTCATTTTATATAAAAATTGAGGACTATAACTTGAAATATATGATTATATATATATTGTATATACCTGTTTTGATTGTTATAATTAATACATTTTATTAATTGTGATAACTGATAACCTTTAAGCAATAAAAAAAATTACGAGTACTTAACAAATAATATTCGTTGTAGTATTATGTATAAATAAAATCATGAACATTTTAAATTCAATGATTTATTCATTATGTACATTAAACGATCTTGATGAAGATTGTGTTTTGAAAATTTTGAAATACAAGATAATTTGAACTAAAATCATATACTTATCTATATTATCAAATAATAATTAATATAATATTTCTTCGTATATTTTTATGATTAACTGATATTATAATTTTACTATTATTTCTAAAGATGAAAACAGATTAATATATAGTTCCATTTTATCTAAATAGAATATGATAATTTAAGTAACAACAGAATTTTTTAAGTTTCTACGGTTAATATTTTTTTAATAATAATAAAATAATATACTTGTTATCATATCGTTAAAATTTGAATTTTAAACATTACATAAAAATGTATGTAATTTTACTAGTAATTCCAGTAGAAAAACTTTAAAATTTGTTTTACAATACCAACTTACAAACAAAAATGTTATTATAGGTACATGATAAATAAAAAAGACAATTTAAAGCCTATAAATGTCACTCAGTGAAAATACATTGAAAATTATATCTGATAAATTATAATTATAAATTTCAAGTTACTGTGATTATTCATTTTTTGAATTATATACAACTAAATGAAATCGATTTTGTCGAAAGCTGTTTTTGCGTAAATTTAACAATACTTCCATAATTAAATTTTGTTTTATCGATTGTTTTTAAAATTATTGACCTTCCAAAGTATAAACTATATCTAATTTTCTACCCAAAAACACCCTCAACATTGCAGATTGAAGTATTTTTCTTCTATAAAAGAATGTCTCCAGATACACATAAAAAAATATATAATTGACTATGATATAACCAACATATTCATAGATCCGCGTAGAATTAAAAATCTTAAATTTTGCATAATTTAGCCATAGATAAATAACTCATAGTTCTTAACGTACTGCGATGTATATCTATATAATATATTTTATTAGTATTGAATTATTAAAATTTTGAGAGTAAGTACAAACATTACTTTTACTACACAGTACATTAAAAAAAATAAAAAAATATTGTTAAAATAATTTATTAACATAGGTATTAATAATTTTTTTTCGCAAAAAACAGTAACCATTAAAATGTATTTCAATCATTTTATGGTATATAAAAATGGCAAAAAAAAAACGAATTGATATAGCATAAATGAAAGCCACACATTCCTATATATCAATTTATTTTTTAAAGATTTCACTTTCCTTAAAATTTACGTAGGAACTAGTTAGCAAAAGTAATGCCTTCCAGCAATGATGCAGTATTCAAAATATTGAAACCAGTAAAACTAGTATAATATATAGTAGATATACATACTAAAAATATAATATTCTGTATGGTACATTTTTACTAGATTAGGTACCGTTTTTATAACAGCTGAGTACTACCCATATGTTTTTCAAAGTATCCAAATTTATTTATTGTTCATTGATCAGCTTAAACATTCCCATTAAAATTGTATATTAAATATTTATGACTATAAAATCATGATACATCATGGTTTTATAAAGGTATCCTAAGTTTTTTTTTTTTTTTTAATGATATAGAACTAAAAAAAAATCAACATGTTAAATTTTGAAGTATAGTTTATGATAATATTTAAGAATGTAAACAGGATACATCATACATGTAATTACGGAAGATTTTACCGTTGTTTCAAACGTTTTTATCGTACATTTGAATGCTATTTCAAGAATGAAAAATGTATTCTAACTAAACTGAGCTCAATTTACAATATTATTAATTAAACAAGTGCATAACAAAACACTTAAACAAGAAGGTAGGTACCTTAAATTAATTTCATCGCTTACTAAAAGAATAATTATGGTAGGTAAAATTATCTTAAAATCCAAGTTATAACTCTAAAATCTAAATGTTATTTATAAAATCTAAAAAATGTTTGATATAAAAAAAAAAACTTATTTTACAATAACTCGTACTTTAAATTTTACATAGAAATTACGTACTAATTAATTGTAAAACACTAAAATTGCATACTTTATTTATGGTTTCGTAATATTATATGAGTAACATTTTTACGTTGTCGTATAACACAATAATACTTCAAACTGACCTATTAGAATTATTTTTAAAATCAATATTAGTCACTAAACTAGTGATTAGTGAACATAGTTGCAAACTAGCGTTCATGAATTCAACGGCAGTTCTGCAGTATAATCGTATAGATAACCATAACCACGGTCGACTTTATGATATTATCGGTACACCGGGTTACTTCAGAGCCCATAAAATCAATATTACCGTCTTCTACAGCACGAGTGCAGTCACGGTTTACTCTGCCTCTGTATAAGTACACGAATATTATACAGGAAATAATATAAATAATATAATAATTTATAACAATTTAGACATTTTGTATAGGTACATTTTACATATTATTATCTATTAAAATTTAATAATCGCGTGACAGTCACAAACGTGTGATTCAGCTACACGTATACCTGATATAATAATATAAAATTGAATTAACCAAAATTGTATTTTTTTTCCAACTAACTGCTATTTAATATAAGCTAAATACTTGTAAATTTTTTATTTAGACACGTGATTCAGTAACTATATCAATTTGTCCTTAGACTCCTACGATATTTTTTTCTAAAAACGGTATCTTTGACAAAACTATTAAAACAAAATTCGGATCACTTACTTTATTTTATTTTTGTCGAAGAAACGTTCACTAAGTATGTAGTGCTTGCTTTAGGTAGTGTTATTTTTTATACGAAAATTTTGGTTCGGATTCTCTGACAGGTACGATGTTTTTACGGAAAGCACCTACAGACCACTACTACAACTGACAAGTAGGTAGGTACTGAAACTGCCGTTCACACACGTGTGAACACACTGTCGCGGCAATATAATACGCACTGAAGTCTGAAACGCTTTCTTGTTCAATATCGTGCGGTCTCCCGTGACAACAACTTTCCACCTCTTCGCCAATCATTTTAAACGTTATCCAGTTATAGTGTTATTATGTTTTACGCTTTCCTTTCTTTTCTTTTTTCGCTACCGTAATTTCGCGGAAACTAGTGTTATAATAATTTTCAATGGTTTTGAAAATAATGTTACATCGAACAAAAATAACGAGGATCTATAAAAACTTCATGATGGGTACCTGCCACATATATGTTATTTAAGTATATATGCTTAGAACTATGTTCGTGTTTAATATAGGTAGACAGGTACCTACTTTTTTAAAGTGGAAGTCCTAGAATTCTATTATTAGTAACTTTGTAATTACGCATAGGTATATAACATACCTACGATTACAATTCAAACGTGGACGAAGGAACAATTTTCCATAATTAATATCTAGTATGTAATAATATTTATAGTGAAAGTTAATAGAATATTTTACTATCTAATACAGATAGTAGTTTAAATTTCAAAGAAAAGTATATTGATAAGATGATTGGATTATTTATTTCCTGCTCCATTATATTCATATATTTCACATAGTAAGTATCTAAGTACTCAAACAGTTATCATTATTGTCCATTATGATGATAATAAAATACGTTAATAATGTACACATTTTTGTGCCATACTTAAATTTTATCTCATAATTCTTATTATTTATTATGTGTATACTGTGTAAAACAATTTTATGAAAAAGAAAATACAATGTATAATATTGAATGCATTATTTTTAATTTTAATACAATATTATATTTCATAGTTCAAAACGTTTTAAAAATATTATACATGGTTTATACATTTTATCTATACTCTAACAATATTTAAGTATTCTCAATATTAGAATTTTATGAACTGTATAACTTAAATAGATACAAAGACAGGTGACAGCTACTGGTTACTGGCTAGTGGCTATACTATAATTGTACATTACTATATTTACTAGCTCGATAGGAACCTTCAGTACCTTCAGTCATGACATAAGTAGATGGCTGAGTGGTTAATATTATTTTTAATTTATTTATAATTTTTATTAATTTTTATTCATAATTTCTATTATCAGCATTTATAAGAAAATAAAAATTGAAAACTTCAATTATTTATAAATAGCTTAGAGTTAGAATATTTTGAAAATTATACCATACATAGAAAATGATTATATAGTGAAAATTTCAAGTTCCTGCTATATTTTATTTTTGTAATTAAAATAAAATAACTTAATTTTATCAAAAAAAGGTTTAGCACAAAAAATTCACATTTTTTCTTAATTTTTTATTTTTTCCTGATAACTAAGAAAAGTAGGTACTGGGAATTTGTTACTTTTGAACTCCCCCCTCTTAACATACCAACAAGAACAAGATACCACCCCAAAAGTTGAAAATCAAAGCATTTTTATGACCTTGAAATTTGTAAGAGACACAAATAAAAAGAAAAAACTCGCATCATTATAAAATAAATATATACTTTTGCTTCTCTAAGAATCTAAAACAAAATCATTAAATTCAAATCTAATTTATAGTAATAATTCCTGTTGTATTTTTTGTTTTCCCAATTATTTTGATAAAATACTAGATATTTGTTACTCTTAAAAAGTACTTTTAACCCCAAAGTATCAACTACAGTCAATTTGCTAACAGAATCTACCCTTAAATTTTAATATTGAAGTATTTATACAAAACTTAAATATTGCATCAGAAAAAGCACAATTTTTGTAAAAACAATAAATTCATTACTCCACCCAGAAATAATATACATCTTTTAATTTGACACATAAGATATTTATTATAGGTAAAAGACAATAAATTCAAGTAATATTTGCTAAACATTTGGCAACATTATCAGTCTAAAATACTTTAAAAGTAATTAAAAAAAAAAAAAAATGGACTTATAAATTGACAAACTAGATACATAAATACTGATCATATAATCACATATCTGTTAACATACACATAAATGTTTATTATAATGGCTCATTCACTTATTAAGTTACAATATTAAAATCTACCACAAAATATTAAAGTGCATTATAAATGTGTAATTAAAAACTTCCATTCTTATTCCCACATTAATTACTCTTCGTCAAATTTCCAATCAATACCTATTTTAAAATTGTGCACATACATTTAGTTTATTTACTCATCATATATTATTTAATATAAAAAAATCATACGTTTATGTTTTCATTTTTTGTCATATTATTTATTATTTGATAGTGTTGAAATAGTATCTTCTGCTTCATCACTAGTCAAGTATTCTTCTACACGATCATCCTGAAAATAAAATAAAAATAAAATTATAATCTCATACCATTCCTTCAAGATAAACAGTATACTATAATAATATTCTAAATAATATTATTTTACTTTTAATAAGAATTATTTTTGATGTATTTGTTGTACTTTAGTATTAAGTATCGTGTAATACCTACATACTACCAAATTGATTGATACCTAACTAATGTTCATAATTTTTTAATTACATATTATTATTTATTTATTTTTGTATATTTTATAAAATTCTAGTACTAATTAGTATTAATAAGACAAAAAATATAATAATTTATCTGATTAACACTTAATTTTAAATCGAGTAAGTAAAATCATACGCTTGTATAAACTAAATGGTCACGACGTTCGAAATCGAACTATCGAAGAAGAAGAAGAAGAGTAAGTAAAATAAATGTATGTATTAAAACTATTTTATAACTTAATTATAGTATAGTGTAAAATCATAATTTACTCACAGGTATTAACGATAATGTAACTTTGCTTGAAATTACTGCTTCGTGATCTTCGGTTTCTAAGGGAGTGTTCAATGGACCATCGCTTATCAAAACTTGAGAGTTTTTAGGAATCATACCGGGAATGAGTAAAGAAATAGGTTCTTCTATAGATGTTGTTTTACATTTTGAAGGTATTTTCTCTTTTTCAGTCGGAGTCCAACAATGACCCCCACCAACACTTTCAGATGTTTCCATATTAACCACTTGAATTATTTTTTTTACAGAAATTTCTGAATCTGTAGTATCTTCATCGAATGGTTCAGAAATGTTTAAAGACATATTACTTTCTGATTCTTCTGACGGAGCAGACTTTTTAATAGTAATTTTATCATTTACATTCTCATTGGATATTGTATTTATCGGGCATTCCCCTTCATCATTTTCATTTTTAAATTCCTAAAATATACAACATAAGTATTTATTAAATTAAAAATCATTGATTAAGTGTTAAGAAAAAAGCAATTTAATATTAATTATAATTGCACAAAAAGCAAAAAAATCTTAATGCGTGTATTTACACAAGAAATAATAAGTATAATTGGCGAATCAAAATTAAATTTAAAAAATATATATTACAGGAATCAGAAGTTTAAAAATAAAATAATTGAATAATTTGAAAAATACTATTTAGGATGTTAAAAAGCAAAAATTAAGCATTATTAATATTATGCAACTATAGCAACTTATTATGTTCTTTATCCTAAGGGTACCTCGTTTTCAATTATTGTGGGAACATTTTCTTTTTCAATTATAGACGATAATATTTCTCGATTCACGTCTTCCAATAGAGACGAAAATGCGTTCACGACTAAGTGTAAAAAAAAAAAATATTTTTTTATTTTTTTCAAAACTCAATTAACTTTAATACCTACCTATTTTATATTACAATTATTTAATTATATTAATCATTTTACCATGTCGTGTTTATGCCTACATGTTTAATTTATAATAATTTGTGCACTGATAATATTTGATATTTATTCTAATTATTTGATTAACTTCCAATAAATATTTTAATAGTAAATCAATCAATTTATGATTTCTATAATTAATTTTCATCTATCTGGATATGACTAACAAAAAATAACCATAATTATACTACAAGTGTAAATACACAAAGGGTCACTCCATAAATTATACGTTAAGAGGTAAAATTAGTGTAGTAGTAAGAAAACAAAATTGTCAATAATATTACTGAACACATGCGCATCGAAATGTTTGTAAATCTTTCAAACCTTATTCCTATCCATCCCATTGCACTCAGACGCCAATATCATTTGCTTAACAATGCGTTCCATCGCAGCCTCTGTTTCTTCTAGCTTGCGACGGAGCGCATCTATTTCTAAATCCCCTACGCAAAACATAAACTACAATCAAGGATTCATTGGAATATTTCTATAGATATTACTGTAGCCAGTATACCTATGTATTAGAGTTGTTAAATATTGTATAAAACAAATTGTGTTATTGATTAGTTAATACTACATAATATAACAAATTAATAAATTATATATGTATGTATATTATAAGTAAATATTATTACAATAATACAATATGAAATGTAAAAAAATCTTTTTAACTTACTTGTATCCTTTTCAATGAATCCTATGCATTAATAAACAGAATAAAACATTAGGTAACTATAAGTTTAAGCTTAAAAATAAATAGAATTATTTATTGTACATAAATATTTGAAATATTTGTTAGTGTTTTACCTAATTTTGTAGGAAGATTCTGTGACTGTAGTTTTGAATTACTATCTCTGCTACAAGGATAATGTGAAGAATATTTATCACCAATAGGATCTTCAACGTCATCTTTTTTTGACAACAACTATTAACACATTTTTTTATAATTAAATAAATAGTTAAAAATTAAATGCCAGGCTGCATTAACATCTGTTACTTTTTACAGGTCCTTAAAATAAAACTATTATTAGTTCATCTATTAAATTTGATAAACCATAAAATTGAACAAAATTGTTGTACAACCTGGCATAGTTAACAAATAACATGCACATTATCTATCTACAGTGTGATCACGATAAGTGGAAACACTCAATAACTATGTGCAGGCTTCATATATTTCAATTCTGCTTTTTCGGCTAACTAACAAACATTATTATACACATTTTCAAATAATTAGACTATTTTTTTGATAACTAATTTTGCGCATGCGC